ACCTCCAGCAGGACCTGAGTCACCAGTGACCTCAACAGGCGCAGGTACCGGAGGGTCTACCTGAGAAACACCTGAAGGAGCAGGACCTGGCACGGGGAGGGGGTCTACCTGGGGAGGACCTGGAGCGAGAAAGAGCGGCGGGGGGGGGCGAGAGGCAGTGCGGTAGGGAAAGAGACGGTAGAAGGGAACAGACTCGTCAAAGGTGACGTCCTGAGACGCAAAGACATGGCGCGAGGTGGGGTCGTAAAACTGCCAGCCAGGCGCGTCAGGAGGAAAACCAAGGAAGACGCAGGGAACGGCGCGAGCAGAGAGCTTGTCCGCGGTGAGATCGCGGACAAAGGCACGAGCACCCCAGACCCGGAAACGCGACGCATCGCCAACCTCCCCCGTCCACAGCAGCGTGGGCGAGGTCTCCGGCAAGGAGACACGGGGCCAGAGGTTGAGCTGATGCGCGGCGTACCGGACCGCGAACGGCCACAGAAAATGGGGAGCCGCCGCATGGATCATGGAGGTACGAGCGACCTCCATGACTAAGCCAATGCGGCGCTCAGCAACCCCATTCTGCTGCGGAGAGGCCGGAAGCGTGAACGACTGGGTAATGCCGTGCTCCGCACAGAAGGCTGCCAAGAGGTCAGAGGAGAACTCACCACCTCTGTCAGAGTGCAGACGCAGGACAGGGAAGTCCCGCTCAAACCGCTCGCGGAGCTGGAGACGCACAGCGCGGATCCAGGGGATCAAAACAGCAGGGACGTCCCCCTTGCTGCGCAAGGGGAAGACCGTGGTGTAACGCGTGTAGTCGTCGACAACCAGCAAAAAGTACCGCTCACGGCCCTGTCCCTGGACGCGGGCTGGGCCCCACACGTCCAGGTGGAGCGTCTGCAGGGGAGCCTCTGTGGGAGGAAACGAGGAGGAGTGAGGAGCGGCGCGCTGCCGCCCCTCGACGCAGGGAATGCAGGGCGGCGCAGGCGAGGGAGGGAGGGCAGGCAGAGACCTGGGAAGCCCAGAGACTAGGGAGCGAGAGTGCATGCCACGAAGGCGAGGAAGGGAGGGGTGACCAAGGCGGTGGTGCCACAGAAGCGTGTCGTGCGACAGGCGGCGGCACTCACACTGGGTAGCTACCTGGGCAGACGCGTACAGCTGAGGAGACAAAGGAGTGGAGCGTGAAACAGTGGTGAGGGTGTACAGACTAGACCCCGGCTCACGAGTGAACGTGGCCAGGTGGCGGCCAGTCTTGGAGCACGTGCAGATCGCCACACGCTGCCCTCCAGGAGTCCAGGTGTCAACCCAGTGATCCTGGAGGACGGCGTTGCTCACCAGGTTCGTAGAGAACGAGGGAACGTGGAGACCTGACAGCTCACCAGACGGGACCGCCGGGCACGAGAGCACAGTCGTGGCTCGTGCAAGCACTGGGCCCCCAGAGGGGTCAGCCAGTGAGACAGGGACAGGTGCAGGGAGGGGAGTGACGGTGGTGCTATCGCGAAAGAAACAGCGGGAAGCACCAGAGTCAAGTGTAAACGTGTGCAAGGCCTGAGTCGACTCAGTACCACGGGGAGCAGACTCACTAGCACCTAGGGCTGCAGCCCTTATACCGGGGTCAATACCAGGATCAGGCGGCACACACAAGTAGCAGTCACCCTCAGCACTAACAGTCAATGCATACATAGCAGCAAGAATAACATCATAGTCCAGATCAAAGATAGGCACATCACGCCTAAGCAGCTCGGCCTAGTTGGGGAACTCAGTAGCATCAGGATACTTGGCACGCCAGGCGTCACTAAGCCTGGCAAAACAACGATACTCAGTGTGAAAACCGTTGCAGGGGCGACCCTTGCGGGGGCCAGTACGAATGACATAGGGGCAGCGGTCAGAACCCCGAGACGCCCCACGCCCAGCATACCAGTCATTGAGCTGCTGGGAGGTGAGGGGAGGAAGCTGCTGCTGCTGCTGTGGCTGCTGCTGCTGCTGGCCACCCTTCTGGCCAGATCCACCCCCACTCCCACCTCCACCGCCACTGCCGCTGCCTCCTCCCCCACCACCGCCGCCGCCGCCTCCACCGCCCCCGGTCCTGCCGCCACCCCACCCACCGCCTCCACCCCCACGGCCACCCCCACCACCTCCACCACCCCCGCCGCCTCCACCACCGCTCCCTCCACCGCCACCTCCGCCACCCCTGCCACCCTTGCCGCTCCTGCCACCACCACGCTTCCCACCAGGAGTGGAAGCCGCTGCGACCTTCTCCGCACCGAGGAAGTCGACAGCAGTAGCAGCAGAGGCGTAGGAGGGGTCAAGAGGGGAGGGGGAGCACCCCTCAAAGAGGGGAGTGCGGGGAGTGCCACGAGCAGCACCGACAGCGAGGATGTTCTTCTCTGCTGCGACCAGCTGCTGCTCGAAGTCGTCCAGAGTGATAGTTGGAGGATCCTTGGCAAGGAAGTAATCCCTGACAGAGCGAAGAGTGTCAGGGAGGCGGGTGACGAGGATGTAGAGGGTGAAGTACAGCGGGGGGGTGTTCGTGGCGAGGAACTCGGCGGTAAGAGCGGCTCGAAAGCGGGCGTCACTAGCGCGGAGGTGAGTGATAAGGTCGGCAGCAGTGTGAAACGAGGCTAAGTCTGGGAACAGGTATGGCAGGATGAGACTACCAACGGTGGCTGTGGCCGGGGCGGAATAGCGGGCAACGACAGCATCATACAGCGTCTTGGCAGTCTTAAGCTGGTTGAAATGCGCGCGCTCAGAGATCGGTAGGTGATTGCGAATAACAAGGCGTGCGACTGCGTCGCGGAGCTCCCACTGTGCTCGTTCAGGGGCAGGAGCAGTCTCAGCTGGAGTAGGGACAGTGCCAGTGACATAGGCTAGTAGTGATACTCCGTCTGCGACGTCAGTCATAAGGTAAAGTCGCAGATCACTAAGCCAGGTGTCAAACTCGATGGGGCGGCCGTCAGGCTCAAAAGCGAGAACAGTAAGGGTCGCCATGGTTGCAGCGCAGGCAAAAGTAGCTGGCTCAGGCAGCAGGCTCAGGCAGCAGGCTCAGGCAGCAGGCTCAGGCAGTAGGCTCAGGCAGCAGGCAAAGGCTGCAGGTTCAGGCAGCAGGCAACTGTAGCAGGCAGGTGCGCAAGGCAGACGGTAGAGGCGCAAGGCAGGCAAGAAAAAGACAGGGTAAACCCTAAACCCTGGCGGCAGGTACAGGCGGACGCAATGCACGGGGCAGCAATGCGCTGTACGAGAGGCAATCGCGACGTGCAGGGCCTAGGCGGGCCGCGCACGGACGGTAGGTGCAGCGCGCAGCGCTGGAGTGGGCCGCGCAGGCAGCAAATGCGACGCGCGGGGCGGAAAAGGGGCTGCGCGCGAGCAGCACATGCGACGCGCGGGCTGCAGACGGGCTGCGCGGGGCCTTAGCGGGCTGCGCGAGGCAGGGACGGGCCGCGCGCGAGCTATGCGGGCTCAGGGCGGGCTGCGCGGGCGACGGACGGGGCGCGACGCGGCTGGCAGCAGCAGTGCGCGCTAAAAAAAAAAGGCGTGCGCGCGCAGCCGAGGCGCGCGCGGGCAGCAGGCTAGGCAGACCAAAAGGCAAGGCAGGTAGGCAGGCCGTTGGTGAGGTAACTTAGTAACTGGTGGGCCCTTAAACTTAGGTCCTAAGAACCTACTCTGATACCATGTCGAGATAGCTAGGCAAGGTGGTTCGATTGACGAGAGAGTTTGGTACATGACACACAACCCTAAAGTGTTATCCCCTATAACATCTACCCCACTACAGCCTACCAATATATATCACACATATATATCATTTGACAGGGGTCTTATAATGTTCACCCCTTAAAAAAAAGTATAACATAAATCTTGCTAAATAAACACTCCCCCCCGTATTAGATACCCGGGGGTGTTCTATTTTGGGGGGGTCTTATATCCGGGGGATTACGGTAGGTCTCCACACCACCACAACATAACACTTCTGTTTACATCGTTATAGATTTGAATGCCAATCCTGTTTAGTATGCTGATCATTCCGTAATGCATGTACAAAATATAGCCTGGACTCCAGTCACAAGCAGGTACATACCACAGTTCATGGTTAAATTGTGAAGTTGAATACTCCCTAAAAGGATGTGCATACTCACGGGAAACAAACAGCCGCATGCACTGAAAATTGTAGCGTAACAAGTTTTAACCAGCTTAGGTAACATTTGTAAGAAGATCCATAATTATTTTACTAGCTAGTAGGATACCGCTATAACTCATAAAAGCCATGAATGATTGAACTGGAACACTAATTTGGAGCCCTGCTGGTTTTATACCAGGATCTCCTTAGAAAGGGGAACAAAATAAAACGAACAGGCTTATTTCCACAATATGCAACCCATGATGGACGTCTTCCAGCACGCCAAGCACACTGCCAGACGTTCATTGGAACCAAGGCACCACTTGCACTTACACCTTCTCATCATCATCATTGCTCTTGTTGCTCAGCGGCAGCAGATAGACAACAGAATACGGCACCGCCACAGCAATGCCTGCCAGGATCGGCGCAAGCCAGTAGATCCAGTGGTTAGCCCACACACCCTGCCACACCGACGTTCCGAACGCCTGTGCGGGGTTGATGGTTCCGCCCGTTAGAGGCACACCCACGGCGGTGGTGGTAAGGATGGTAAGGCCGATCATAAGGGGTGCGAGAGCGATAGGGCCCCTGGGATCCACGGCGGTGGCGAAAACGGTGAAGATGAGAAGCGAGGTGAAGAGCAGCACTGCCAGGAAACCCGTGCCCAATGACGTTCCCGCGGGAAGTGATGCGGCACCGAGAACCCTCTGTAACAAAGAAAAGAGTGGAAAGAACAGAGTATGAGGGATAACATCAAACTCTGGAATGAAGAGGAACATGGAAACGCATGTAATCATGTGACAAGGCAACATGAGATGATCACACAGGAAAAAATAGTAAGCCAGAGCATAGGGCAAGAGTGATAGCGGAGGAGATACCGGGAAACATATAAATTCAAGGAGCGGAGACGTACGTTGAGAGCCGAAGGCAGGACGGCAGTTGCAAGGCCGACGCCAACGAGCGATCCCACGAGCTGCCCGACAATGTAAACGACGGCAGACAGCACGTCAATCAATCCGACGGAGAGCATGGCAACTGTGGTTGCCGGATTTAAGTGACCCCCGGAAATGCCGAGTGTTCCGGCCACAGCGAGCGCGTAGGCGACGCCGTTACCCAGCGCGATGATGACCACAGTTGTGAGAGGCTCGACCTTGGCTCCTGGGGCTGCAGCACAGTAGCGAGCGACAGAGTCAGAAATTTATAAGAGGAAACTGGCAAACGATCCAACGACTTATGCTGTGTAGACAGGTCTACAGCAAGCAGTCCTCGGGTCCTCCACTCGTCGTCATACGAGACCCATCAATCGTGGAAGCTTGCAAGTAATTAGTATAGAACACAAACTGGCAGGTGCATGCGTCCATGCAATTCAGCATGCAGCTGCTCAGTTTAAGCCAGGAAGTCAAACCTATTGTGGCAGTGCAACAAATACATTTTGTCCATTATCCTCCCCATGTGCCTCAACGGCTATTTCAAACTTATCCCAATCCTCAAGAACGATGCCAAAGGAAGTGAGTATTCTTTGAATGCAACTTACTGACGATGGCCGAGCAGAGCACGCCTTGGAAGACGAAGTACATGGTTCCGACAATCTCCGCAATCGCGCACTGAAGCAGCACCATGGGAGCCTTGAACTGCATCCATTGCTTGAACACCTGAGGAGCGGGCGCCATTGCTTCGGAGTAATTCGACTTGGAGTCGAAACGGCTAGAAATGCAGTCAGAGGCGATGACGATACTGTCTCGCGAAATGATGCGACGATGTTCTGGCGTAGAACTCACGTTTGACTTATGAGTCATTCTGTGCTTCTATTTATGCACGGGTTTGGAGTGCTCTGGGCTCACGTCGCGACTTCCAGTCACGTGTGAAGGATAACCTCTCCCCCCCGACCTAAATTCTGGAGATACATGAATTGATGGGGACCGGGAAGGCGTCCGAACCGCATGGCGGCTAGGAGCCTCCTGGACAGGCAGTCAGACTATGTCTGACCCGAACCTGTCTCAATCCATCTCGGAACGACTGTAAGCCACTTACAACATATTCAGATATTCAGGCGCTGCGTCTAGGGCACTGCCTTCTCTCGTATCCCCACCAAGTACACATTCTAACGCTCGGGAGCAAGAGGGTGGTTCCAGGTCAAATCGGGGTGGTGGTGATGTCAGAATGAGTGGGACTGGCGTTCGTCGATCTTTGGTGGAGATGGCGACGCGCTGAAAATGCAAGGGGGCTGAACGGAGGAAATTCCGATATTTTCTGGGCTTCCGATGAAACGAAGAATCGAATCTGGTGGTAGGGGGTGTTGACGGGAACAAACGAAATCGTAGTGGCAAAATGAGGGCAACAAGTTTGCAGGCGGAAAGCAAGGTTTCAGAGTTTCTGGCGTTTGTGATTGTATGGGGTCAGGATGCAACTAGGCAGGTTGGGCTAGGGAAGTCTGTTCAAATTCCTCCTCCCACAGCCATTGTTTTGCGCTGGGATGCATTATCCTTGGATTTCTACCTTCTCTGGCATCCTTACTGTGCAATGGTGGGGTGGAATTCCGCCCAGCCTCGAGTCATGTTTGACGGGTTGGGCCTTCGCTGATGTGGCAGACTATGCTCCACAGAAACTCGGAAAAATGCGCGGTGAAGGCATGGGGCTAGTTCAAGATCTTACCCTGGAATGAGTGGCTCGACCAGGGCTGGGTCTAGGAGTTGCTGCGGAGGTCTGGTTTTGCGCTTCTCGTTCCTTGGAACCTGTTTGACCGCAAGGTTCATCACAACCAAGATGAAAATGAAACCAAGGTGATGGACCAACCCCCTAGACCCAGCGCCTACCTAGAAAGTATGGGATGATTCACTGCCCCGTATGGAACTTCCGACGTGTTACACCAGTTTTTCCGTAGGCCCTAGATTAATATTAATGATCCACCGCAGTTGTGATGAGTGTGAAGCAGGTTATGAAAGTAGTAATTGTTGATACTAAAAACTTGTAACTTGTGCATAAACAGCTCACATCGGGCTGTCCAAATGTCCACTCCAGCAATGGAGAGACGAGTACATACGTCTACATACTAGTAAAAGCAACCAATCCTGATACAATAGGGAGGCAGTAACATGCGAGGCAGAAAGCAAGCAGTGAGTGGTGATATAGCTGTAGAAAAAAAAGGTCATCTTAAACACCAGAAATCCACTTGCTCAGAACTCTCTAGCGCAGAGATCTCGAAATCCCATGTTCGCGCCAGCCTTCCAATCATGATACGTGTTCACGCCGCCATACGCACCGAGAATTATCCCGCTCAGCCCGATAACCGAACCCAGCGCGAAAATAATCACCGACGGCTTGCCATAGCGCATGACAATAGCGCGTACTATGGAAAGGCCAGAAAAGGCCGCGACCATGGCTATGCCAGCAAAGACGAGCGCAACCTCGATGGGGATGCGGCCGAGGAGGTAAAACTCGAGCACTGAGAGCGAGGAGGAGAAGACAACCATGAAGGTTGTGGTCGCTGCTGTGACCTGTTGTGGTGGGTGGCGGGGAGGGGTTGGGAAGGGGGGGGCGGTGGGGGGGTGGGGGGTAGGGGAGCGGATGGGGTAGTGGGGGGAAAACTTCAATGGAAAGACCAGAGAAGGCTGCAACCATGGCTATTCCAGCAAAGACTAAGGCAACCTCAATGGGGATGCGGGCCGAGGAGGTAGAACTCGAGGACTGAGAGCGAGGAGGAGAAGACCACCATGAAAGTTGTGGTCGCTGCTGTGACCTGTTGTGGTGGGTGGTGGGGGAGGGGTTGGGAGGAGGGGGGGTGGGGGAGGGGAGGTGGGGGTTGGAGGGGGGAGACCAGTTGAAGCATCTTTGAATGGACTCAAGAGGCTGTGAGGGTAGAACTCGTGCACTCAGAGCCTCAGCTCGTGCACGGAGAGCGGTTAGGAGAAAACCACCATGAAGGTTGTAGTCGCTGCTGTGACCTGTTGTGAGGAAACATGTTGGTAGGTGGGGGAAGGAAGAAGGGCGTCCAGCATTCAATCCACCTGGGGTTGAAGGCTGAGTGCGAGCAGGAAAGGGCCCATGACCATGCCGCCTCCTATGCCGCATCCTATGCCGCCTTCCATGCCACAACAGAGCAGAATCTAAACCAACACACCTGGGGGTGAAGATTGAACCCAACTGGAGGGGATAACTGAACCCATCTGAAAAGAAATGCAACCCACCTGAGGAGGAAGGTTGAGTTCGAGAAGCACAGGGCCCATGACCATGCCGCCTCCTATGCCCAGCAGCCCGCCCATCACTCCAGCGATGAAGGAGCACAGCGGATACCCCCACAGCTGCTGCATGCCCCAGTGCGCCGTGTGGTACTCTCTCCTCCTGCTGCTGCTGCTGCTGCTGCTGGGATTCGCAGCCTGGTGTTCTGATGCTTCACCACCACCACCACCACCAGCACCAGCACCAGCAGCAGCACCAGCACCACCAGCACCAGCACCAGCACCAGCACCAGCGCCAGCGCCAGCAGCAGTGCTAGCAGAATCACCACCACGGCCTCGGGAGTTTCTCCTGGGAGACGGGTGGCTTTGGCGGTAGAGGCGGAACGCGCCCACGAGGGTGGCGAGCAGAGCAACGGGGATCTGCAGCGCGTTGAGCAGCCAGTAGGGGCGGCTGCAGTCAAGCGTGTGCTGCTTGGCGAGCTGCAAAGCCAGGAAGGCCGCCCAGACTAGAAAGAGCTCAAGCACTGACCGCCAGTCCACCAGCTGGAAGAGAGATGCCTGGTGGGAAGGATGAAGGGGGGAAGGAGGAAGAGGGATGGGAAAGCCAGTAGGGGCGGCTGCAGCCGGGCGTGTGCTGCTTGGCGAGCTGCAGTGCGAGGAAGGCCGCCCACACGAGTAGGAGTTCGAGCACTGACGGCCAGTCCACCAGCTGGAAGAGCGATGCCTGGTGGGAAGAGGGATGGGTGGGAAGAGGGATGGTTTGGAAGGCGTGCAGATGGGTGCATTGGTGCAAATTGCAGACCCCTGCACCATGCCTCTGAGCTTTGAACCATAAAAGCTGTGCTAATGCCCCACGCACACCAACTCACCTCCAGCGGTGCTCCAAAGTGAAGCTCCTCCATCAGACTCTTGGTGCGCACTGCTGACCCCTGCACCGCGCCTCCCCTTCCCCCTCCCCCACCACCTCCTCCTCCTCCTCCTCCTCCTCCTGCTCCTCCTCCTGCTCCTGCTCCTCCTCCCGCCCCTGCCGCTGATGCCTCTGGCTGCTGCAGCAACGGGGTGGTGAGCCCCCCAGAAGCAGCAGGAGCTTTAGATTGGTCCTGAGACTCCGAATCAGATGCTAAGGCAGACCCAGAAGGAGCAGAAACAGCAGAAGGGTAGGAAGCTTCCTGCTGCTGCGGCCTCTCACCCTCTCTCGCTCTCACTTCCTCCTTCCTTCCCGCTGCGGCTCTCCCCTTCTCCCTCTCCCTCAACCCCTCCCCTCCCCTCTCCGCCACACCTGTCTCCCCATCCACTAGCTCCTGCCCCGGCACACCTCTGTTGATTCCACCTGAAAAAAAACCTGGACCAGCAGCAGAATCACCAGCACCAAAACCACCGCCAAAACCATCATCATCCTCCTCCTCCTCCAACCCAGCAGCAACAACAGAAGCAGCAGCAGCAAGAGCAGCCGACAGACCAAACCCGCCACCGCCCATGCGACCAGCACTCCCACTCCCGCGGCTGTAGCTCCCTCCGGCACCCCCGCGGGGGCTCAGCCCTCCGGCACTCGGGCTCACAAACACAGGCGGAACCACCGGCTCGATCGACCCCAGAATCCTGCGACCTTTGCTGTTTGTGCTGGCCGCAGCAGTGGCTGCAACAGCGTCAGCAGCAGCAGCAGGAACGGAAGCGCCAGCGGCAGCAGTGGCGGTGGTGGCAGCAGTGACAGCAGAGGTCCGCGATTCGCCTTGGTTTGAAGATTTGGTGCCCTCGGTGCTTGTGCGGTCATCACTTGGCCTGTCGTTGCTCACGGGGCTTGGCCTGTCGTTGCTTCCCACGGATCTGCTCGCTCCTGGAAGCCCCGCGTAGTGCGTCTCACTCCCGAAACCAAACACCCCCTCCTCCCGAGCCAGGCCGTCCCGAGCCAGGCCGTCCCGAGCCAGGCCGTCCTGAGCCTGGCCCTCCCAAGCCAGGCCGTGCCGAGCCAAGCCCTCATACCCCACTGCCCCGTGGTGGCTGGACTGTGCTGGCTCGCCGACGCTCTCACAGTCAAAGAGGGCCCGCACGGAGTGGGCGTGGGAGTGAGCGTGCAGGGAGGCGGAGAGACGGAGCATGTCGGACCAGGAGGAGGGGAGTGAGGTGGTGCGGTCTGATGGGAGCAGCCGCGGGATGATGGGGCGGGGGGGCGCTAGGGGAAGGGGGGGAGGGAATGGGGGAAGAGAGGAATGTGAGCAATAGAGCTCGGATTGGAGAAAGGCGTGGGTGAGACGTGCGGGTGGAGAGGGCGTGGGAGTGGGCGTGCAGGGAAGCGGAGAGACGGAGCACGTCGGACCAGGAGGAGGGCAGCGAGGTGGTGCGGTCTGATGGGAGGAGGCGGGGGATGATGGGGTGGGGGGGCGCTGGGGGGAAAAGGGGAAGAGGGGGGGGGGAGTGGAGAGTCAGGGAGGTCAAGGTGGGATGGGATTTCATTACCTTAGAGTCTAAGGCACGTAGGCAGGATCTTGGTGATGAAAACCACTACTGCAGGCCGGAGCAGGCCTAAAACCACTAAAACCACTAAAACCACTAAAACCTCTAACCTTGCACTCTTTTGCATGGGCAGGCATGACGCTTAGCCTCGTGAAACGAGCAGCTGTGAATTTACACTCTTTATCCTTAGCCTAGTAGTGACACAAGCACTCACAGGAATCACTGAAGGAAGGGAGAGGAGTTGCCCGCACTGCTGAATGCTGGGGGAGGGAAAGGAGGAGAAAACAAGAGAGGGAGAGGAGGGGAGAGGGTGGTGAGGAGAGGGAAGAGATGTGAAGGCAATGTACGGAATGTGATTGATCCTGCCTGCCAATTAGATGTGCGCTGACTATATTTGAGACGCCGCAAAAAAACTCTCACTTCACTTCACAAGGATTGTGATTCAACCTGCCTGACAATCTGAGATGTTTTTTGACTTGATGCGGTGTTGACCTGTGTTGACCGGAGCTGATTCAAGCATAGACCTTGCATCGAAATGCTTGTCATGCCATCCTCGCCTGATTTATGGGTCAACTGAGACTCCCTCCACCACATGCCATAGCTTGTTGACCCATTTTGACCTACATTGACCTACATTGACCTACATTGACCTGCATTGACTCTCTAACTCACCTGGTGTGCCACCTGACTCTTTCATCCACATGGTATGGCCTGGTGACCCTCATTGACCTACATTGACGTGCGCTGACCTGCGTTGACCAGTGTTGACCTGCGTTGACTCTCTGTTACAGACTGACCTGGTGCGCCACCAGGGACTCTTTCATCCACATGCTACTAAGGGCTGTTGACCCTCATTGACTGCATTGACCTGCGTTGACTCGCGTTGACTCACCTGGTGCGCCACCTGAGACTCCTTCATCCACATGGCCACGCCCTTGCCTAGCGTCTTGTACGTCATCACTGCACGGGGTGGGGTGGGGTTCAGTGTGGTGACGGGCGGTAGAGTGAGGTGTGTGAGTGAGTGAGCGCGATGTGGTGTGAAGCATGCAACATGAGACTCCTCCATCCACGTGGCCACGCCCGTGTCAAGCGTCTTGTACGTCATCACTGCATGGGACGGGGTGGTATGTGGTGCAGTGCGGTATAGAGTGATGCAGCGAGAGATAGGTGGTCCACATGGCCACGCCCTTGTCAAGCGTCTTGTACGTCATCACTGCATGGGGGGAGGGATGGGGTGCAGTGCGGTAAAGGGCGGTAGAACGAGGTGTGTGAGCGGCCACGTCGTGGTGTGACATATGCAGCAGTAGACATAAAGAGTTGCATGGAAACGCCCTCAATAGAGTCACACGAACTAGCATATCAGTTCACACACGCACACACCGGGGGGGGGCACTCACAGAGCAGCAGCAGGAAGAGCATGACGGTGATAAGCCAGGGGTGGGGTGGAAGATGACGTTGCAGGTGACCCCCACGCTGATCATACCCCCCAGCAGCAGCGTGGACTGCATGAGGCGTGTATGGCTCTTTTTACAGCCCCATAAGAGCATGTACACATCCTTTCACACTTGCACTCGCATGGGCATAGGGCACTCACAGAGAAGCAGCCACACCCACACTAGAGCCACACGAAACAGCAACATCAGTTTACAGGGGCACTCACAGAGCAGCAGCAGGAAAAGCATGACCGTAATGAGCCAGGGCGGGAAGATGACGTTGCAGGTGACGCCGACGCTGATGCCCAGCAGCAGCGTGGGCTGCATGAGGCGCGCCAAGCCGTAGTCGATGAGGGGCTGGTGGAAGGTGGGGTGCTTCAGCTGCACATTGAAACACACGCTCGCCATGGCGCCGCCCATTATCATCGCTGGTGAGAGAAGGGGGGTGGTGGGGAGGAGGGGAGGAGGAGGGCATGAGGGGAAAATGAGGGGAAACAGAGGGGAAGAGGGGGCGCAGGGGGACAGGGGGCGCGGGGGGACAGGGGGCGCGGGGGGACAGGGGGCGTGGGGGGACAGGGGGCGCGGGGGGGGCAGGGGAGCAAGTGGAAAAAGGGGCAGGGGCATGGGGAGTGAGAGCAGAGGGCTGCATGAGGCGCGCCAAGCCATAGTCTATCAAGGGCTGGTGGAACGTGGGGTGCTTCAGCTGCACGTTGAAACACACGCTCGCCATGGCCCCGCCCATTATCATCGCTGGTGGGAGTGCAGTGAGAATGCGGGGAGAATGTGGAGAGTGGGAAAAAAGGGGAAGGAGGAGGGGCAGGGAGGGGATGGCAAGCGGGCAGGTTGAACATGAGAACGAGCCCAATCATGATCATCCCAACAGAATGATTGGCTACGGAGATTCCTACACTTGGAGAGGGCAGTAGATGTCTTGGCGTTGAATCCCAGCAGCAGGTTGAACGTGGCATGGGCACGAAGTTAGAAAGTTGAGAGTAACATGAATTGGTTTTGAGCTGCTCTCACATTTGGAGAGGGCAGTAGATGTCTTGGCGTCGAATCCCAGCAGCAAGTTGAACATGGGCACGAAAAGAGCCCCCCATCCCACTACAATTCTGAGCTGACTTGAAAGTCAGCTGATGACTTGGCGTAGATGTCTCACATTTAGAGAGCGCGGTAGACGTCTTGGCATCATAGCCCAGCAGCAGGTTGAACATGGGCACGAACAACCCGCCCCCCCCTGCACTGGCGACCTCTGAGTCGACTCGACTAGAGATTTGAAAGTTAATAGATGTCTTACACTTAGAGAGCGCAGTGGACGTCTTGGCATCATAGCCCAACAGCAGGTTGAACATGGGCACGAATAATCCGCCTCCCCCCACGCCCCCCGCGTTGGCGAGCGCTGCTCCCACAAGGGAGATCAGCGCGGCTAGCACGACCCGCGGCCCAAACACGAATGGCTGATGGGAAGGGGGAGGGGAACAGGGAGAGGGAGGAGAGGGTCGGAAAGGAGGGAGCGCCGTTAGCACCCCTCCACGCCTCCCGCATTGGCGAGCGCTGCTCTGCTCCCACGAGGGAGATCAGCGCGGCTAGCACGACCCGCGGACCGAACACGAATGGCTGATTCGTTGGAAGGGGGAATGGGGAGAGGGGAAAGAGAGGGGGGAGGGGAGGGAAAAGGAAGAGTGAGAGTAGGACCTCTCTCTTTCTTGCAACAAGGAGGAGGACCTTGGAACGTCGGGGGTTTCGCAATGGAATTGAGACTTATCAGTGTACGTGTTGTCTCTTGGAATTCTAAAACAGCAGGGTCAGCGAAAAGGAGGGAGAGGAAGAGGGAGGGAAATGAGGGGGGAAGAAGGGGGGGGAAGGGGAGGGGAAGGGGGAGGGGGAGGGGGAGGGATAGGGGAGTGCTTACAGGCCACCTCTTATCGCCGAGCCATGCAGCAGTGGGCTTCGACACTCGCAGCAGGGGAAGCAGCGGATGAGTGAACATGCTGCTGCCGCCACCGCTGCTGCTGCTGCTCGCACTGCTACTGCTGCTGCTGCTCGCACTGCTGCTGCTGCTGCTGCTGCTGCTGGTAGAGGTGGTGGTGGTGATGGCACTGCTGTTGTTAATGGTGGCGGTGCTGCTGCTGCTGCTAGGAGTGATGCTGCTGACGTGTTCGCTGGCCCTGGAACCACTCTGCACCGCTGGCAACACTAGAAACGAGTGGAACCGACCAAACAGCCCCGCATGCCTGCCTCTTCCGCTCCTTACAGTCACTTCCGCCTCTCGTCCTCTTGAAGCCTCTCCTTCCTTCCCTCCAGCACGGGTCTGACCCCCAGTCGCCTCGCTCCCCCTCGTTGTAAGCACACCCAGTGCTTGCCCTGCCTCCACAGACTCATGGGCCGCCGTCTCTGGCTGGAGCACATCCCCTTTTGTTTGTGTCACATTCGCCATAGTCGCATTCGGCAGAGTCACACCCCTCGCTGTCACATCCGCTATCGTCACATTCGATGCCGTCACATTCTCCCGATTAGTCCCGTGGAAATCAGGCCTCTCCCCGTTTGTAGATCCTCGGATAGAGTCAACTCCGGCGCAGAGCACAAGGGGACAGGCGGGCAGCACGAGGAGCAGCAGGATCAGCAGATGCAGCAGGTGCGGCAGACGCGGCAGGTGCGGCAGACGCGGCAGGTGCGGCAGACGCGGCAGGTGCGGCAGGTGCGGCAGATGTGGCATCCCTGTCCCCATCATCCGCGTCATTAACATCAGCGGCAGACACGCGGCCCTCTCGATGATTTGAGTGGCCACAGCCGCAGCAGCGGCAGCAGCAGTGAGAGGAAGAGGAGCAGTGCAGCTTCGGTACAACGGATTTCGAGGCGCCTCAAAACGCGTGTGCTTCCGGCAGCAGCAGAGCCAGAGAGAGGAGAAGAGGGGTGGCTGTGGTGGTATTAGTGTTGCTAGCTTTATGCTAGCGGAGGCAGTAGGCGGCCTGGGGGGAAGCAGCAGCGGGAAACAAGACTCGATGGCGCGAATAGTACAGATGGGCGGATGTAGTTGCGAATATTACTGCGAATTCTAGAAGACCGGCTGATCCATAGCATGTGCACGTGCTAAGCAGTTATGAAGTGACAAACGGTGGTTTTTGAGGCGCCTCAAAAAACATAGCATGTGCACGTGCTAAGCAGTTATGAGCTACTGATAAGCCGCTCCAGCACCCATAGCATGCGCACGCAACGCAACCCGTAGCAACAGAATAATCTAGCTAGCAGTTTAGCTGCCTTTTGAGGCGCCTCAAAAATAATCTAGCTAGCAGTGTAGCAGTTTAGTATTGGTAGATCAGTCGACTAGAATTGGTAGATCACAGAAGAAGCAGGTACCAACTCGTAGTAGCAGCGAATCACACCACACCACACCACACCACACCATACCACCAGGCTTCAGAAGGGTGGTGAGAAAGACGAGCCCTGTGCCTGTCTGTCGCCAATGCAGCTGCCAGAGCGCGTCCGCGCGGAAGCGACGGGGGAGAGAGAGAGAGAGAGAGGAACTTTCCCCGGAAACTGGGGAAGCTACAGAGGTACAGCACGCGGCGACGGGGGGGGCGTAGCGTGGAGGAAGCGGCGTGGAGGGGCGTGGAGGGAGGGAAGTGGCGTGGCGTGGCGGCTTGTGAGCGTTCAGAAGAGGAGGGCTTTATCTGGGGATTCAGACCAGACCGGGGCTGAGACAAACACAGGGCAGGACGGTACGACGAGTCGTTGTCTCGTCTCTGATTTGCTGCGAGGCTGAGTTTGCGGCACGCGAAGATAAAACCTACGGGCATGGCATGTGAAAAATGATGATCAGCTTGATCAGCTTGATCAGCTTGATCAGGCTGATGTTGGAGTGCGAGGAGCGCGCGGAGTGCGCCGAGTGCGCGGAGTGCGGGGAGCGCGCGGAGTGCGCCGAGTGCGCGGAGTGCGGGGAGCGCGCGGAGTGCGGGGAGTGCGGGGAGTGGGTAATTTCTCCTATTGGCGGTTAGCTGACACGTGTACTGCGACTACTGTATACGTGTTGTAACAATAGTATACGTGTACAGTACTATCCTCACGCTAGTTGTATACGTGTACTAAACTCAAGACAGGCTGGGGGCTCAGAAGCTGCGACGGTCATCGCTCAACGCTAATGCAGCATCGCTAGCCGCTCGCTAGCTAGTCGTACGTGAACGTGCGAAACGTGCGAAAGTCATGCGAACATATCGCCACCGAGCCACGTCAGCGAGTGGGATGATGATAGTACTATCACGGGCGCGGGCGCGGCGCGCGACTCACAGAAGCAACGCTGCTGCTGTTGCTGCCATGGCATTCGAGAATCGAGACGCCAGGGGGACGGGGAGGAATCGATGACTTCGACGAGACAAAGTCGCCTATAAGGGAAAACGGCTCCTACAAAGTTGTCGCTTTCGCAAATCCCGGCGCCAACCGATCTCGCAAGGGGACACAACGCGCCATACCGTCCATCCTCCTTTCCCCGCATCCCACCCCCTCTACCATCGCCTTCCCCTCGCGCCACCTTGCATCATGATTTCCGACCCTCACCTCACTGCTCCCTGTCTGGCAGAGCAAACAGATACATTACTCCGATCGGCTCTACCCGTCACTGAAAATGCTCCCTGAAAAGTGCTTCGCGCGCTCCCCATAAGTTCTGCCTCCCCGCCCCGACCCCGGCTCCGCCCAACTTCCCCCATCTCTTCCGCGGCGCGCGTGGCAGCACTTCCGTCGTGTCATTTCGCTCACAGCGCTCTTGCTGAAGGTTAGGTGAATCTGGCACTTGCAGCCTTCACCCTCGCTCGGGTCACCGGAAAATGCGTTGTTTCTGGACGAAGCAGCATGGGAGACCCAAAAAGGCTTCTAGGGTGGTCTGGTCAGCGAGGCAGAGAGCCTGTGTGGTGCAGAATGAGTCAGCACATGTGTCCAGATACGATGGCTTCTACAAAGAAAGATGTGAACAATGTGTTAATACATTATAGCTTGGATAAACAGGCTTGTACCGTACATGGTCTAGAAACTAGGGAGATGTGACAACATTTTACATTTGAACATCTCAGCAAACATCTCTATTCCTACACCTTCACATCCATCAATGACTTTTTTTTTTTGCGCTTGATATGCTTGTTCGAATGTAATCCATAAGAAGAACAGTGTCAGAGTAGCAAGGAGTTAGAAGGCTCAGTAAATTGTTCAGATGAAAAATATAAGAGTCATGACATACAAGCGATTAAGTTGATAAACTCTTCCTAGCCAAAGAGCCCATAAACCTTAAACCTTTTTGCTTAAATATTTTGCAAACAACTATAGAGCGAAACCGGGTTTACTGCACGTATTTTGCAGTTGGGGGTTTAACTTATGATGATACAGCGCACAATACAGCGGATGACGGGTTTATCCCAATGCGTATTTCGCAGATTTCCATTCTACGGTATGATCCGAAAAATCTGTACTTGTCCGTGTCTTGTCCTAAAATAAGAAACTCCACATTCGCCACGTCCCCCCAACCCAACCCGAGCGGCAGGGGTGGTCTTCGTTTTTCGCACTCCATGTTGCCCAAATCTTTTCCTTTGTTTCCTCATTTAGCCGATGTGCTCCTTCAGCACCAATTTCTGCATCCTTCGTCTGCCCGTCTTCGCCATGTCAGTTATTTCTGTTTCTGCGTGCCAAGCCAGCTCAAGCAAACATCAACAAAAAAACTGGTTGGACAAGGCGCCTCCTCTCCCCTCTCTCGTCTCCTCTCCCATCGTCATTCCGCACACCAACACTTCCACTGACCAATACACATGTTGCTCAGCTGTTGCATGCAAATTTGGTCGGATGTTTCCGACCGCCTGCCCAATTGCATTTGGTACCAGCCAGTTTTACTCACGATACAAGCTCCCTATTTTGATCGCAGCCGTTGAACAAACAGCTCATCACGCTGGCATCCGTCCGTTCGTGAGATATTTTGTAGACGCTGGTTACATTTCTTCGCCTGCCAACTACATTCCCGATTTGGCGAGCAGGCGAAGAAGATCGCTCACTAAACATCTAAAAAACAAGTAAAGTTGTAAGTATCTAACGAGCATCTGGTGTACAGCTGCAGTGAGTCATTGTCGTTGCACTGCACACTGCAACTGTAATTTGAGGGCGACATGACTAAAAAACTAAAACCCGTCGCTTACGGCATGCCATTCGGGAGCCTCAACCCTAAAATGCTAGGGTTGAGGCTCCCGAATGGCATGCCTTCCGAGCGGGTTTTAGTTTTTTTCTTGCCCGCGGTCAGCTTGCTGAATCATTGCACTGCCAGCTGACGCTGGCAGTGCAATATATTTTTCCAATTGAATATTCGTGCGCCATCACTCCTGCCACGGTGTCCACCTGGCGTTTGTAAATTGATCTGGTTACGTTGCAATACTGTAAGCTTTGTTTGATACGTACCCTACCCAACTACTCTGACACACAAGAAAATCTCATCCCACCGCATCAGAGTGAACTTAGGGTTTAGGCTGGGTTGGGTTGGGTTGGGTGGGGCTCGGAGCTGAGAGCTGTCCTTTTGCGGTCGCCAAGTCTTGCCGGCGGCCCGCCGCCATCCTCGTCCTTCGTCTTGTTGTTACGTACACACACGCTCTGTCCATTGTACGTGCAACTGATTCCGTGTGATTCGGAAAGCTCTGATTCATGTGCGATATCGTTGGCGAACACTTTGGGGAGCTTCAGTATTTTGTTTAGGGCGACGTTAGGTTGGACAACTTCTGTACGCTCACTGCGGTCAAGTTCGTTTCTTCATGGTGGCAAACGGTAACACTTGCAAACCGTTTTCCACCGTGTGGAACCTTCCTCAGCCACGATACAAGAACTGAATGTGCGAATACTGTGCGACCTGACGTCGCTCTTAGGTTCCAATAACGCGGTCTTTTTGTGATTGGGAGCTGGAAGAGCGTTTCAGAAGACTGACATGGCGGGAAATCCTTCGTGGCGGATGACAAGACTCCCCTCCCCCATCTTCCCTTGCCCTTCTCACGAGCATCAGACAGCCGCCATATCATTCTACTTTGGGGGTACCACACCATGCTATAACTACGGGCAAATTCAACATAAAGAAAGCAGCCGCTGCATTTTCTTGCTCGAACTTCTGGGACCGTCACCATCCCATTCCTCTAGTGCTATAGCTCTCAGCAGCACTGGGTTCGCACAGCCCCAAAACTTCCACCGCGTCGCATTACCACTACGGCAAACCGCCGGTCGCTCTGCACCTTGCGCGCGAAACAACCTAGGAACTCGCATCATGGCCGTGCAACTGAAGCAATGGATGAAGTTAAAGCCGCCGATGGTTCTGGCGGGTTGTGCTGTCGCGGAGCTCGTCGGGACGATGTTCTTCGTGTTCCTCGGCGCCCTCTCGGTCTCCGTTACCGGTAAACAGCTGCTTGGGATCCTTCTACTACCCGCATTTGTCGCTCGCCCCGCGTTCATTCCTCGTATAACACATCCAAATGTTGAATGGGAATTTCTGTGGAAAGAGCAAGAGCACCAAATAAATTTTTGTTGGGATTGGCTGTTGTCCAGAACACGGCTTATATATTAAATCCCCCTCCCGTTTTTTTTCTTTCATTTTCTTTCTGCAGTTCAGTTCACCTCGTATGAGCCTTTGACTCGCGTTATCGTCATCGCTTTGGGTTATGGCCTCGGCTTGACTCTCGCTGTGTCAGCAACCGCCGGCGTCTCTGGCGGCCACATCAACCCGGCCGTCACAATCTCCCTGCTAGCCGTCGGCCTCACCGACGTGTTATCTGCCGCCGTCTACATCGTGGCGCAGGTTCTTGGAGGCGTTTTTGGCGCGGGACTTGCCAAGGCTATCGTGCCTTCGGATGTTAATGTACGTGCCTGGCAGGCACCTGTCCCATGTTTTTGTTTTTGTTGTTGATTTATTTATTTTTTTGCTGATATTCCGGCATTTCCTAGGTACTTCTCCAGAAAGTCCTTAAAGCTTCTAAGTTTGTTTTCCAGACCCTGGTCCCCCGTATCCTCCCCTTCTCCACCTACCTCCTATTTCTCCACAGGGAATTCTCGGGCAACCGAGGCTGGGCGTGGGGATTTCAGTCGGGCAGGGTTTTCTTACGGAGCTGCTCCTCACCGCGGTTCTCGTCTACACCATTTTCGCCTGCGCCGTCGATCCCAGGGGCCCTGCGGCGCTCGCACCTCTTCTGATTGGTCTTTCCGTTCTTGTCGACAATGCCGTGGGTGTGCCTCTGACGGGCGCGTCGATGAACCCTGCGCGTGCGTTTGGCCCGGCCGTGTGGTCAGGCGCGTGGGCGGACCAGTGGCTTTATTGGTTTGGCCCGATAGTCGGCGCGCTTCTTGTGGCGATTCCGTACACGGCTATTTATTTGATGCCCCTCGCCAAGAAGGGCGAGGACGAGGGAGAATCCAAGGACGATGTTTAGACCGTGAAATCACCTGTCTCATCGTCATCCGATGCGGATTTTTGGTCAATGGTGAGTCTCGGTGGGTCGCCGAAGCTTAGCGGGATGGGTGTTTGCGCCTCCCAGCCGACGAAGTAGTTTGCTAGGGGAATTGCGTTGCTTCACGTAAGAGGGAGCTGAAAGGTGCGTCCTTGTTGTTCCCGTATAGTATGGGCTGAATGTGTTTAGATGGAGATATTATGGCTACAATTATTTGTAGTAGGTAATTTGGCAAAAATGGCACTTTTAAAAATGGCACTTTTAAGTCAAGGCATGAGCTAATTTTTGAAAGTAGCAAAAACATTCGACAATGGTTAAGTTCTCGCAAAGGGGACCCTTACTGGCCTAGTGCCTAGGTCAGGAAACGTTGAGGCATAGGATTGGGTCGCGGGCAGTCTAGCTGGGTGGTTTGTGCGCAAAGGGCGTTGTGGTGGGAACATTGTCAAGTAAGGAGAAGTCAAAGAATATTAAATATATCACATCACTCAAAACCATTTGTGTGGCAATCAATCTTTGATGTACTATATTGGGCTCATGCATGGGCGTTCTGCTAGCAGAACATTCCGTAGGTAACAGGTGAGGTGAGGGGAAGACTTGGGGGAGGTTGTAGGTAGAAATGTACCCGCTAAAGTGCAACTAAAGTGAGGAATCTAAATTCCTTTGACTCCACTGGGGCATATCATCCACAAGCCACGAATTCATTCCCACACCACAAATCAAATGTCAACTGCTCCGTCTGTATGTTCAAGTAGTAATTTGCCAGCAGTTCCCCATCAATAAAAAAAGGCCTGCGATTTTGCATTGATGTTGATCTACTTCTGCTTCTTTCGAGACTTGACTTGCTGCTTGTTGTGCTGCTCAAAGAAAGTACCCTGCAAGCAAAACACCGTCCCAACCAAGACAACCTTGGTCAGTTGATAAGAACATACAGAACATACAGTTGTATCACAAGCTACTGAACAACAACTTGTAAGCCTAACTTATTTTGAAATTGCATCTTGAAGTTTGCGATTACCATTCCTATCATGCAACTGACCTGGAGCCACTCGTTGGTCTCGGCACCAGTGTCTCCCGCTGTGCCTGTCTCAACCTTCTTAGTGCGACGGGATTTCTGCGATACAGGAGTGGCAATTCAATGAGATAACAGACCATGAAGGCGCAATCAGTGACATATTACCAGGAAACTTCCCATACCAGAGGTAGTAACAATGACAGGATGATCAACAGCTTGACAAAGCTTCATTCAACAAAGCAGCACGAGCATGAAAAGCTGATTACTAATTATTGACAACGTGTCCACCTAGTGTATAGCTTATACCTCAACACCATGGCTGTACACCCACATCCCGCTCAAATACCCCACATACAGAAAGAAAGGCTCGTCACTCGTTGACAACATTTCCCACCTCTTGAATATTTTACATACCTTTGCTCATGCATCACCCCAACAACATGGCTGTACACCCACATCCCGCTCACATACCCCATGACCACAGCCAACCCTCCCCAACCCCTTTCCACCACCACATACTCCATACACAATCCTTGATCCACATAATCCAGCCAACTTCACCTGGTTGACTTTTCAGCCGACTCACAAGTCAACTCCATACATAAATCTGACGCACATCATCCAACCAGCCGCACCTAGTTCATCCTGTTTTTGAGCCAACTCCCCTCCCCTCCCTCCTCCCCCCAACCCCCCTCCCTCCCTTTTCCCCACATCCCTGATTCCCTCTTTTCCCACCACACAACCCATACATTTCCTCAAATCTAGATTATAAACATCGCCTCAGCACCACACATCACCCCTTCCAACCGCACCTGGTTCACCTTGGCGACCTGCCCGAACGCCCACACGCCCACATTCCACACCCCTTTCCCTTAACCCCCCAATCCCTCCCCCCTTCTCCCCAGCCGCACCTGGTTCATCTTGGCGACCTGCCCGTACGCCCACACGCCCAGCAGCGCGAGCAGCCCCGCGGCGAGCAGCACCAGGAACACCGACTCGCCGCTCACGTACCCCACCGGCTCCAACACCTCCACTGTGCGGTTGATGAGGAGCGACGCGTGCAGGGAGTCGCCTACAATGTAAAAGGCCGCTAGGGCGAGGCCAAAGTCGCGCGGCTGCGAGAGCACGCAATGAGAGGAGGGTGGGGGGGGAGTGGGGTGGAAGTGGGGGGGAGTGGGGGAAGTGGGGGGGAGTGGGGGAAGTGGGGGGGAAGGGAAAAAACAATGGGGGAAGGAAGAGGAGAATGAGTGGTAGTGAGGGTTGGCTGCGCCAAGAAAGGGCCCACACTGAGGAGTATGAGCACCTCCACTGTGCGGCTGATGAGGAGAGAGGCGTGGAAGGGAGTCAGCGACAATGTAATATGCGGCCCCGCAGCTAATTAAGGGGGACCACGAAGGAGAGGGGAAGGAGAGGCGCAGAGAGACGTGGAATCCGAGGTACAAGGCAGGCAGAGGGGGACTCAAGTCGGGAAAACGACAATCGAAGAATGCAAAGAGAGCGCACCTGAAGGTATCTCTCTGGTGTGAAGTGGAAGGAGAAGGAGGTCTGAACACCCGGAGGGATGGTGACGTTGTACGACTGTATAACGCACACGGGGACACAGGGAGACGAAAGCAAAGCAAGCACAAGCAGGAACACGGGAACACGGGCACACGGGCACACGGAGAGGGGAAAACACAGCAGGAGCATACAGGCACACAGGGAGGGGCGAACACAGCAGGCACATACTATTGAGTCGACTCAGAAGGAGATCCGTTCCGCACAACCAGATGGATAATGACGTTGAACGACGGTACACGCACAAACAGGCACACAGAGGAAGGAGACCCACAACAACAGCCAGTCGATCGCCTTCTCAGTACGTTTTCATCCACCTCTCGAGGCGCCTCAAGAGACGACGTTTTCTAATAAACTCAAACGACATATCTTGAGGCGCATCAAAAGACAACAACCAGTTCTTTGCCTTCGAAAGACGTTTCCATCTACCTCTGTAGTAAAAACAAGAACGGCATTTTCCTCTCGTTTCATCCCCATTGCCTAAACCTTTCGTCCCACCTCCACCCATCCCGTTCCCCTCCTCCTTCCATGGTCCCTCCTCATTCCCCATTCCCCTAACCCCTCTCGCCTCATCCTACCACGTTCCCCTCCTCCCCGGAGCCAAACCCCACCCTTTGCCTCATCCCTTGCTCACCCAATCCCCTCGCCCCCGCCCCCATCATCCCCGCGCTCCCTCCCCCCCCAACCCCTTCCCCCCACCCACCCCCAACTCACGTCGGATGAGAAGTTCTGCACGACGTATCGGAAGTCGAAGGGCACGTAGATGTTACCCGTGACGTTACCCATGAACACCGGGATCGGACCTGAAACCACGAACACACCATCAACATCCGCGTTAAGGGAAAAGTCCGCACACATGAGGCAGAACAAACCAACAACGAGAGTCAAACAAACAAACCAACAGCAATTCGTTCTTATGCCTCTCAGATATTTCTACAGGAACATACTTGGAAGCTTTGACATGATCTCTCACACAACATTCAGCATCGGGTCGTGTATTCCGCATGATCAGGGACCTTATTTCATCACCAATTTGAACAAAATAATAAACGCGCATATTCCGAATTCAAAGTTGCTCTCGGAATACGTTTTCAGGTGGGGACAATGGAGATCGAACGAGTGACAATTTAGTGGGGACAAGGCGGGCGAAAAGTTGCGACTTTTGAATCGCTTCGTAAGTCATTTCGTCTCGATGCCACACAGAAGGAGCGAGGAGACGGGCGTAAATTGAAACGTCTGAGATTCAAGTCGAATCAAAGATCGCTTTGTCCTAATGTCCCAAGGCAGGCGGCGTACCGTTGTTGCTAATGGAGAAGAGCAGCTCGGCTTCCTGACCAGCGTGGATAACCGGCTCTGCACAAAAGAAAGAATATAAGAAATCATTGACACAATACGAACTTTGCATACTTGTTCGATTCCAAAACCATGGACGTTCGGCAAGCAAGGACGTGACAGACCATGCGACGCAATCCAAATCAAAATTGAGAATCTATTTATGAGGTGCCTAAAAAACTCAATGAGATGCGTACCCTTGTTGAAGAATTTTGGAAGAATGGATTTGACTTCGACTCCATCGGCCGGCATAAGACGCGGTAGCTCCTCCTCCGCCTCCTCTTCCTCAGTCGCCACGATCTCCGATGTAGCCGCGTCCGACGCTACGGAGTCAGCAGCGGCGTTCGCATCTTCGTCGTCGTCCTCCTCAGCACGGACGGTGACTGGCGAGAGAGGTAGAAAAAAAAGTCAGTTTAGAACGGTCAGAAATTGAGTCGGGAAGAAAGCAGGCAAGCGCGGACGGTTATTTGCGACAGAGATTTAAACGGTGAGACAACAGATCGAGAAGAACGCGATCAAGCACGACGCGTCAGAGCGTAATGACAATGGCATCGGACCATGATGCGCTATGGAATGCGAAAGATCAGATCCGGTATCCATGCCATTCCTTCGTCGAAATGGGAGCGCCACAAGAGAGAAAAGGCTCGTCATTGAAGAGTCTTGCTAAGGAAGAACGAAGCGAATTACCTGCTGGAGAAAGGATTAAGAAGATGGCGAAGAGAACAAACGAGAGCCGCCATATGGATCGACGAGCCATGACGGATCGCTACGAGTGGCGTAAAGCCGAGAGATAGGATCAATACCTAAACAGACCCGCAAAAAGTAGTCGTGACGACTAGACAAGATACTAAGATGAGAAAACTAGATCCAGAATATGGTAGTCCCAAGGCTCAATTGATCCACAAGTCCAGAGGGATTCCAAGGAGGGTGAATTGAGTTGGTTAGGATGAGAAAAGCTCAACTGGAGTGAAAAATAGGACACTAGAGCGTGCGAAACCACGAGGTACCGCATCTTGCCGCTCTCATAGCGTTCGCACCATCTGCAACCTGGCAATGTTGGCAACTATGAACCTCCACAGTCCGCGTTTGGGTCGAATCTAAGCTGAATGCGCGTTCCCGCCTGATAATGTGTCAGAAACGAGTGTTCCTGAATTGGATGAGCTAATACCGGTTGTGTTTTGGGAAATGTGTTCCAAACTTTCTGAACACTTGGATCCGGTATAAAGCATGGGTCGTAAGCACTCTTACGAAATAATAGCGGATAATGTATAATACGCATTCCCGATTCTGCTCATAACGCTCGAGTAACGACCAATCCAACAACACAAGCCTACCACGGAGGATGAACAGTGCCGTAGCCGAGAGGCTTTTTTTAGCAAGCTACAGTATTCATCACAACCAATCAACTGCTTTCGTCAAGAAACCTCCAGATTGGTAACACTTATTTTGTTTTGTCGTTTTAAAGCGCTGCTCTCAACAACTCCTCCCGTACAGTGAACCACATTCACAACCTGCCCCTTCTCCTGGCGTAAAATCGCCTACGTCGCCAACCTCTCACTCGCTCGCGGTACATACAGTAACCACCTCCGCTCCAACCTCCATCCACGCCATCCGACGCGGCGCGTTGCGATGAGCCTTCACCATTTCCGTTGCCCAGTCCACCCACGCCACACCACATTTCTCCCCTGCCTCGATGTTGGGCATGCAGCAATCACTGCCAAAACGCTCCGTACGAATCTCACAATCACAGACAGGGGCACAATGAGTGAGGTGCGGCCGAGACACTGCCCATACAGAAGCTAAAGCGAAACCATTCGCATCATTAACACGAGCTCATCTCTGGCAGACACAGACCAACATATCAGCCTTGAACTCAGTCGATCACCATTCCACGTACGCACGCCCCAGCTAGGAGGAAAATCAGTTTCTTCGGGCCAGGCTTTGTCTGATTACCTAAATGCACTTTGCCTGTCTAAACACATCAGCTAGGAGTTATCTGTTCCTATATTTCTCAACTGACAACAGTTTTTCTCACTTCAGCGCTTCCCTCGCCATCCTTGGACCATTTCACGCAATCTAGGATCTGTCGTCAACCTTTCCGTCGCCACCCTTCTTCCGGATTTTTTTCGCGACTCTGTCAAAATGGCTGCGAATCACCAGACACCGCAGAATCAGCGAGACCTTCTCTCGTCGACGAGTCACCGATGCTCACGTACGCCGTCAGCACAGAGATGCGCTTCCACCCGACTCCAACTACACTTGCTCGTCGCTGCCCTTTTCTTACTACCCTTGGCGCTCGCGGTGCGCCCCCAGTTTCCGACAGAAGGAACGCGCGACGCGCAGGACAGCGTCGTCATCGCGGTAAGCTCCAAGTCTCCGAAGCTTCGTTCAACTTGTCAAACGAGCCAATTTTGCGACCTTTTCTTCCTTAAACCTTTGCTCTTTTTTTTTTTTTTTTTTAATCGCTTTCGACCTTTCCTTTCCTTCTCGTTGTTCTCCGCAGAGGTATCAAGCGGGGCTGGCGAAGATGTGTCTTGGAGCCAGTCGCGATAGGGCGCGAGCGGTTATCGGCAACGCCGATTACGCTTGCAGCGACGCCAACGTGGCGCTCGCCTATTCGCAGCCGACAAACGCCACCTTCATGTACATCGGCGGCGCGAGAATTAAAGGTTAATTACTCCCGTTACTGTTCGCACCGTTCTCCGTGTCGCTCCATTCTTCCAGAATCGACCAACGGAGCTTCTCCTTCCTCCCTCTGTCATACCCTCTCCGCTACCCAGCATTCCGTGTCGCTTTTCCCCTTCCTCTCGCCTCACCTTCCTCCCTCTGACATGCCCTCTCGCCTCTCTCGCCTTCCTTGTCGCTTTTCCCATCGGTCTTGCCCCCATTCTTCACTTGCGAAATAACCTCCCTTTTGTGGTTTCATCATCTTTATTTTATGAGTCAAGTCTATCATTCCCCTCACTACAGGCCCTTCAATATCCCTTCCCCTATCTTCGCTCCTTCTATTCCTCCTGCCTCAGGCCCTCGCCGCTGCGTTCCGCCGGGTCAATTGGGTGTGTACACCTACTTCCCCTCTACGAACAAATTCGTTAAAAGCGATTTGCGCAGCCTCCCCGATCGCGTAGTGGACTCGTCATACGTCGTCTCCCTGACAGTGCCATCCGCGTTACAAGTTGCCCCGCAAGTGACTCTGGACGTGTCAAACATGTACCCCACGGCTCTTGAGGTTGACGCAGCAGGGACAGTATCAGCCCCTCCCATGACCCAGGCCAATTTCACGGTAAGCGCGAGTCATTGCCTGGGTTCATAATCCTTTCTTGTTCTGTAATGTAGAACTGCTCCTCATCCATCACTCATGCCCCTTGTACATAATCTTCCATGTCTACATACTGCTACATCTTTTGCTGTCTTGTTGCCTTGCATTTAATAGCTAGGCAATCGTGCGTATTTCCCCTCCTCTTTCCATCATTACCCCATTCCTTCTCCCATTTTCAGGTCTCAGGAGCAGATCTCTCCCCTCCTGCCGACCCATATGGAATGGTTTCTTCTTACTTTGAGCAATATGGGGCGAAGGCTGATGCCAACGACCTCTCGGGTGCCATTCTAGTTACCTATGACCCTTATATCGAGGCGCACGTTACAGTGTACATGATTTACCGACCCGTCTACAGTCCCGCTGCAGTGGTACAACAATACTGCAACGCTAACGCGCCATGTTACTTCGCATATGAGATGGTCGGGAAGTACGCAGCTCCGCAGGATGCATCTGCAAGGCGTCGACGAAGGCTTCTCGCAAGCAGTTCACGGGCGGATACACTGTCATCAACGGGGACGTGTGTTCGATACGTGTACAACCCTTCATGCAAGTGCTACAGAACCACGCCTTGTTGAGTCGCACAAGGTGACTAACGGCATGAGTTGGACCACCTGTACATTAAAAGTCCCTTGGACAAGCATCTGTACACAAGGCCGCTCTGTATATTCGAGAAGGAGCAGGGGAAGGAATCAGGTTAGAAACTCTGGAAGAGGACATCAATAGGATGACTACCGTAAAGTGCCACCTATAGGACCCGGGGGACTCTCTACAAATGCTTGAAAAAGTGCTAGGGGGACCCTCTGGCGGATGCAAAATTTCAAGACCTGGAATACACTTATTTATCAACTATCATTCTGTTCTTTAGGGTGTACGGCTTAATTCGGGGCGGGGGGGTCTTATATTTATAACGAACAACGGCATTCGTGGGCCGATTTCGCGCGAGCGGCGCGTCAGATCTGTGTCAGAATTCGAGTCTGACACAAACAAAGTGTCAGAATTCGAGTCTGACACAAAAAATCGTGTCAGAATTCAAGTTTCTGTCAATAAAAGCTGACTCACAATTGCAATTACAGCTACTGTATACAGAAAAGGGGGGTCTTATGATGATTAGGGGCAGAAAGGGGGTCCTCACAAATCCTGCCCAAATAAGAGTCCCTCTGCTCCTTCAAGAGTCCCGGGGACCCTCTTACCGGGGGGTCCTACAGGTGGCACTTTACGGTACCAGACCAGAGGCCATTTTCCTGTCCCCCATAGCCATGGGTTACATAACATCCTTTGGTTTGAAAGTTAAGAGTGTCAGCTCTCTGTTCCCATCCCAGCTTTTCTGAATTATAGTGGCTTGACATCAGTTGTTCACTGTTTCAGGAGCTATATCATCTGTGTGACAAACAGAGGCAAATGTGCCCCTATTCATTTGGTTATACCCCTTCCAATAGTTTTTGTTATTAGCTGCGTTGGAGAATTGGAACCAGTGCAACTGACACAGAAGTGCATCGCGGATAGAGTGTTACTGCGAATTGCCGTTAGTTTTTGGCAAGAGCACTTGTCGCAACCAATAGCATTGGTCGCATGAAAACCTGCAGGTTTTCTGCTACACCTCTATTTGTCGTTTCTACCTTGCTCTCAACAACCACACCCGTACAGTGTCCCACATTCACAACCTGGCTCTCTCCCTGGCGGAAATCGCCTTTACTGTACTATCCCCCCAGCCCCAATCGACTCCGCCCTCCATCCAATCGCAAGCAGCGTGGCGATGTCCCTCGGTTGGCTGGCTGGTTTGAACGGTTGGGCTTTGACGAACCAACAAACAGCACGATTCACGACGAAATATGCGACGACATTCTTGGCAGACACACTTCGGCTGGGGGAAGAAATTGCAGGCGGGGAAGAGTTTGGGCGCAATGCGCATGCGACACTTGGGATGGGGGTGGTGGTGGGGCACAAGCGCAAAGCAAACCCAAGCCGAAACTTCCACTTTGACATCTTCTCTTCAGCAGCATTTCCAGAGCTGCCAGTAACACTTCACCTCCATTGCACTTCACAATCCATGCACAGAGATCACAACCCGCCTCATCAGTCCATGCGCTGCATGCGTACAGTCAATCGCATGTCCCATCCAGGTTACCTGCCATCTAAAGCCGTTATCTGATCTCCTCTCCCTGGGCCAGTTTCGCGCTTTACAACATAATCTGACAAGTTTTTTTCCCTGCCGTGTCATCCACCGTCGCCATTGTTCCTGTGCTCATTCATTTATCTCCACCTCCAGCAACCTTCGGTGTCGCGATTCTAACTCTCGTTCCACCCAACGATTCCATCGACTCGACAAAGCTCGCCATCTCGCGTCAATCTACCTCGCAACGCTGTCGAAATGGCCCCAATGCAGCATGCACAGCCGATTCCACGAGGCTCCTTTTCATCCACCAGTCACAGACGATTGTTCACGCTTTCGGCGCTGCGGAGAAGCATTTTCGGTCAACTCCATCTTCAAGTGCTACACGTGCTGGTGGCTGCTCTTCTCGTACATTCCCTCAGTCTTACCGTGCGCGCCCAATTCTTGACAGAAAGAACGCGCCCGCAGGACAGCGTTATGATTGCGGTAAGCTCGAAGCCTCCGAGAAAGCAACCTCGAACCCTTCAATGCGTCCTAGTATCCTATTACAACTTTCGCCTTCTCTGGCCTTCGCATTTCACTCACTTCTCCCTTCGCTCTCGTCGTTTTCCTCCCTACCGCAGAGGTATCAAGCGGGGTTGTCGAAGATGTGTCTCGGGGCCAGTCGCGAAAGTGCGCGGGCGGTTGTCGCTAACGCCGATTACGCCGTTAGCGACGCCAACGTGGCGCTTGGCTATTCGCAGGCGACGAACGCCACATTCATGTACATCGGCGGGGCCAGAATGAAGGGTAAGTATCCCTCCTTTTCTTCTGACCTCCTCTGTTCCGTCTCTCCTGTCCGTTGCCATCCCCGACGTCGTTCCGTTTTGTCCAGTCTCGCTCAAAGCACCCGCTCTTTCCTCCCGTACTCTCTCGCTCTCTTCCCTTCTCATATTTTCCTCTATTCCGCATGTTCCTTCCTCAGGTCCTCGCCGCTGCGTTCCCCCGGGACTTTTGGACGTGTACACTTACTACCCTTCTACAAAACAATTCGTTAAGGGTAGTCTGGGCAGCCTCCCCGAACGCGTAGTGGACTCGTCGTACGTGGTTTCCCTGACAGTACCATCCTCGTTACAAGGCGCCCCGCAAGTGACGCTGGACGTGTCGAACATGTACCCCACGGTTCTAGAGGTTGAGGCAGCAGCATCGGTCTCGGCTCCTCCCATGACGCAGGCAAATTTCACGGTATGCAACTTATTTTGTAGGGTAAATCTCCTCGTCATCCGTTACTCATGCCGCTGTATATGAATTCCTAGTGTCTACATTTCGCTCTACGTTTTGCAGTTTTGTTTCCAAGCATTTAGTAGCTACAGGGGCGTGCACATTTCCTCGTACCTCATTCCATTTTCAGTTCATTCCTCCCTCCACTTTCAGGTCTCAGGAGCAGATCTCTCCCCTCCGGCCGACCCATATGGCATGGTTTCTGCTTACCTTGAGCAATTTGGTGCCAAAGCTGACCCTAACGACCTCTCAGGCGCTATACTGGTAACTTACGACCCTTATATCGAGTCGTACGTAACAGTGTACATGATTTACCGACCCGTCTACAGTCCCGCTGCGGTGGTACAGCAATACTGCAACGCGAACGCGCCGTGTTACTTTGCGTACGAAATGGTTGGCAAGTATGCAGCTCCCCAGGATGTGGTCGCCAGGCGTCGGCGAAGACTACTCGCTGCACGATCCGATTCACTGTCGACGATGGGGACGTGTGTGCGATACGTGTATAGCAATTCGTGCAGGTGCTGGGTAACTATGCCTTGTTGAGTTACAACATCGTACCAGAATTGCCACCCGATACGACATTCTCCCCACCCACGCGACACCACACCTGGCTCAGAAACTAGGGTCCAAGGTCGTTGCTTGCAGAGGAGACCGCGCCTCTTAATGACTGGAGATGTGGAAAGCACACCCTGCCAGAAATGCGTAGTGTGGGGGGGGGGGGAGGGGGCTGTACAATAGAGCCTTTTATCGGCTGTTCCTTGCAGCGATGTATGGTAGTTTGTTTTTGTTAGCAATCGTGCTTGTGGCTTCTTCTTAGTGATGGGGCAAGGAGTGTGAAAGTTCCATCAAGTGCCATTGTGGTTGGAAGGCGTGGGTGGAGAGTAACTGGCTCCAACCCAACCCTCTATACCATGCTTTGATGACAACATCTACGGTGCAAGCAGATCACCGTAAGTCCATGCGTTATTGTACAAACTCTTAATCCTAAATCTCTCATTTTGTACAATTCGCGCCATTGTGTTGTGGCCTTTGCTGAAGGCTTTTGCTGTGGCACAACCAATGGTCGGACAACAATGAGCTACTGGCACAATACTGATTATCAATAAACCACTACCTTAACCAACAAATCTGACTACCAACTATGCTATGTCGTCGCTTTAATCACCTTCACTTCAGGCACAATCACGTCTGGCAGCTTGCTGTGCCAATCCCATGTGCACATCCGCCGCAGCCCATCGTAATGCCAGAACGAGTTCACCACAAACCGCTCCTTTTTCGCATCTTTCCCAGCGATCCAGTTGTTGTGCAGGATCTTGCTCCCCTTTCTCTGGCACGCCCCCATCACATCTGCTGCCTCCCAAAACCCGTGCACCGCGCCGTTAGGGTAAATCGCCCTGTCGAGGAAAATAGTCCGGAGCCCATTCTTCCACACGCATTCCTCCTTCCCGGGCACCACATTCTCTCCCTTCACCCCGCAGAGAATATCATAAAAGCTCGGCTGCTCGGATAGCTTAGTCGTGGCCGCATGTGCTGTAATCGCCTCAAACCCTTCGATCGTCTGCGCATCGGACCTTGCGAAGTAAAACCCGGAGTTAATTCTGCGAATTCCCGTCCCAGGAAGGCTGGCGTTCGGCTCGTTGCTCTGGATCGGGAAGGTGCCAGGTCCGTACGACATGAGGTCCGGGAGAGGGTCGGAGAACCAGACGATGTCTACGTCGGTCCAGAGGACCGAATACCCCGCCTTGAGCACGCGCAGCACGGCGCGAGATTTGAGCTTGGTGAACTGACGGAAGCACTGGCTGCCGAAGGCACAGTTCTTGGAGTCGACGCCCTTAAGACCCACGCTGACCTGGAGGAGGGAAAAATGGGAGAGGAGAGAGAGCGGGGGGGAAGGAGTGGGAGGATTGAGCCGATTTGAGCTTTGTGAACTGACGAAAGCACTGACTGCCCAAGGCACAGTTCTCAGAGTCAATGCCCTTGAGACCCACACTGAGCGGAAGAGGGAGAACGAATAAGAGAGCCTAAGGAGGAAAGGAGGAAGGGGGGGATAGAGGCAATTTGAGATGAATTCTCATGCATGGGAGATGAAGAGGAGGGAGGAAAGGATGGGGGAGGGAGGAAAGGATGGGGGAGAGGGGGAAGGGGGACATGTGAGGGTGGGTAGATGTAGGGAATGGAGTGGAAGCTTGCTCTGATAAGGAGCTGCTTCTATACCTGGCCTTCTGACCTCACCTCACTCGTTGCTAGCCCCCTGATTTCTATTACTAACCCAGCTCCTGTTTGTCAAACCCAACCCTGAATATGGAATCACTACAATGTTAGACTCGTTACAAGCGCTCACCTGTTCATAGTACACCGCAAGGCTTTGTGTAAACGCGAAACGATACAGGTCATCGTCTAGCGCCGCGACCACGAGATTGTCTGCCAGGCCGGGGCCCCTCAAACAACAAATTTATTCCCCTTACAAGCACGCCTCGTTACTAGCTCTCACCTGCTCGTAGTACACTGCCAGGCCTTGGGTAAACGCGAAGCGGTAGAGATCCTCGTCAAGCGCGGCGACCACGAGATTGTCCGCCAGGCCGAGCCCCCTCAGGCGGCACACGAAGCTCATCAGCATCTCCGCGTATCCGAACGTAACGGCAACTAGAGTTACCACCTTGAGCCCGTTCGCCTCCCTCGCGACGCGCGGCAGCAGCTGCTCCATCGTGTGCGGCAGCCCGATGGAGGCTTTCGGCGTAGGAACGGCTGCGATTGAGTAATCCTCCTGCTTATCGACGGACACGGTTCCGCACTGCCACTTGTGGCCCGTGGCGTCGAGCTTGGGATCTGATTGGCTGTTTTCGACGAAGTTGGAAAACTCGCACGTGCACGTCGCGGGACGCAGGCGCTTCTGAAGGCACATGTTGAAGACTGGAGGTGGGGGAGGGGGAAGGGAAGGGAGAGGGGATGGGGAGAGGCGGACGGGGGAAAGAGGGAAAGGGGGAAGGGGGAAGTTGGAGACACGTGGCGAAACGAAGATGCTTTACCAGACACGCGCTGGGTATCGGCGGTTGGGGGGGGGCGGAGGAGAAAGGGATTGTGGAGAGGGGTAAACGGGGGAAGGGGGAAAATGCGGGGAAGAGGAATTTCACACGTGCAGCTGACGGAGTGCAGATTCCCGTTAATTACGTGTTTATCAATATCATCTTCGCTTCCCACTTTACTCCAACTCTCTTTCGAACTGTACAGTGCATCACGTTACTGTTCCTCCTCCCCGCCCCTCTCGCCCCTCCACGCTACTCTTCCTTCCCCCATTCACTCCTCCGCCCCCTCCCCCCCAGCTGTCCCCCCAACCCCCCTATTCCCACCCCTTGATTCTTTTCCTTGACCCGCGCCGTACCTGACGGTTCGTGACACGTGGCGAGTTTCCACGGCACGTGCAGCGCCGTGCCCTTCTGGTTGACGTACGATCCGTGCGTCTGCGCCATGTGAATGTTCGCGAAAAGCTCCCAGCTGCTATGCTTCCTCGTCGACCAAAAACTCTTTCCTAGCAGGCCCTTCCTCTCCTTAGTCGCGTCGCCCTCCACCACGTGCGAATACGAATGCGCCACGTGGATCGCCGTCACCGCGTCGCTCGCGTCGACGACCTGCCGGACGCCCGACGCGACCATCTCGTGCGTCAGCCAGTTGTCGTACTTGCCGCGTCCGAACATGAAAGGCGGCATAATTCCCGCAAAAAGCGGAAGAGGGGAGTTGTTCCAAGCCCAGAAATCCACGCCGCCATAGGTATGCAGCGACCCGGTTTCCCGGACGACCTTCTTAATCTCCTTCTCGATCGCCGCGCTGCTGCGCCCGCCGCCGCCGCCAGACGAAGCCCACATGGAAGGTTCGAACGAGTACGGGAAATCCTCTTTGACGTCCCACCGCGCTGAAGTCATCACCCAGTGCGGGAAACTGCGGTGAATCTTCTCGATGGCGACCATGACGTCATTGAGGAGGATAATATCGCCGTTGATGATCATGGAGAGGTCGGTATCGGCGGCTTGCGCGCGCGCCACGATGCTGTGAAACTGCGGCACGCCGTAGAAATTAGTGTCGATGGCATCGTCGACGGAAATGCGCGTCGGGAACTCCCGCGCGAGCGTGTGAAACGTCGAGTCGTTCCCGAGAAGGACGATCTTAGGAGCCGGAGTTAATCGCAGCCATGACAGCAGCGCGCGGCGCTGGTTATCCACGGCGCGGTCCTTAGGGTTCAGAACCGACTCGTACGGCTTCGGAGCGCAGAAGATCGTCAGCGAAGGAGCAGCGCCATCTGCGGCGCCTCTCGCGGCGCCACCTGCGCCGTCCCCGCCGCCGGAGCCTTTCGCCTCCTTGTTTCGGTATAGACTCTGACTCTTCTTGGCCAATAGGAGGCCTTCCTGGAGCTCGCGCCGCTTGTGGGTGGCGAGGGAGGGAGACGCGACCACGATTGCGGCTAAGCACGTTAAGGCAATAAGTAACCGAAGCTTCATGGTGAAAGAGGTTAAAGCGCCTTTAGGGCGCATACGCACGAAGGCCTTTTGCTTTGAGCTGGAAATTAAAGAGTGCTTAGGTTGACGGGTCGAGAGCACGAGCGGTAAATGACGTCACCGCGTGTGGTGTTGGCGCACAAGCGCTCTGCGTTTGCGTCAATCAGCTGGATGAAATTAGGGAACTTGAACGACTTTGTGTGCTTCGTGGGATGGAAACACGTAACCCTAAGGCACAGGCTGCTTACAACATGGGCCTCCAACAAGCACGCATGTGTTCCGAAATGCGCGGGCTGGCAGGCAGTCTGTGGTTGCTGTGGGAGCAGGAATAAGGTTTGGTTGGAGCGGCACACAGCAATGGCTGTGAGCGATACCTACAGGAGGAAGGTTGGGTTGAGTGATGGGGCGAGGCACGGCTGGGAAAAGTTGGTCAGGCATTTGCCTGATCGTGGTTTAGTGTGGTTTTGTACGTTTTTGCATGGTAGGCTGCACGTTCTGTTTTGTACCGCACTAGATCGTAACGCAAAGCTTAAAGCCCGAGTCCCAAATTGCGGGCCGCGCGGGTCAAGCTTTTAAAACTTGACGAACTAGTGTTTTCAAGGTTTGAAGAAAAGCGTGCCTGCAATTTGGGACTTTTGGGAACTGAACCAACCCCCAGGGCGAAATACGAGGGCGGGCTGGGTTTGGCAAAAAAAAACGAAAAAAGCGAATCTTTCGCCAAAACCCTCACCACAAAAACCCCCTCGCGTCAACCTTTTAAAACTTGTGCAATTTGGGCTGCCGGCTTTAATACTGTAGTTGGAATTGATATTCGGGGAGAGCTGGTTCGGAGGTCTCTGAACTGGGATCGGAACTTGGGCATTTGAGGGCGTGTCCAGCGCGTACGTTTATGGTTCGTTTACAGTTCATGACCCATGGTGCAAAACGATATCAAACGTTTCAAAGCGATTTGCAGTTTCCACCGTTTTTAACCGTGACGCAAAAAGTTCAACCGTACAGAATGAACTGTAAACGTACGCGCTGGACCCGCCCTGAGGTGTAACGGGGGGAAGCGAGGGAGGAAAGGAGGGGAGGGAAGTGGCGAAGGGAAGGGCGGAACATTCGATTCGGCTCGGCTCGGCACATGCCATCATGCATCAGCAAGCTGGTAACGTCGACGATCCGATGCTGTAAAGGTTGGTGAAGTGTGAGCATTTGACGGTCGAGATGTATTTGTTACAGGTAGTTTGCTTTCTGCCCACGGGCATGCTGCATTGGGGGAGTTTGGGGAAACAGGTTGGTGCAACAGGGCGCGCCCCCTTACCATGCTTGCCTAGCCTTGCCCTTGATAGGTCAAATCGCGATGAAGGGGCAGGTTGAGTAGGGGCGAGGGCATCACATTCGACGAGTCGCGTCACATACCGTACGCTGAAAACTTGAAGGGATTCGCTGGGGGCAGCTGCCAATGGGCAGCACTCCGTTTCTTGCCCACACCTCCGCCCCAACCGCCATCCTGAACTTCAAATTCGGTACAGGTAGGGGTGCGGGGCGGACAGCCATACCACGGGCCGAGAGGGGAGCGACAAGGCGGGGAAGAAACAGTTCCTGTTCGGCGGCGCGCTGATGCTGGTCAGGTCGAAAGTCTCGTGTCGCAGGGTTCAACGAGAAAAATCAAAGTTTGTTACGAGGGTGAATTTCAGGTCATCTGGGGCAAGCACATCGCAGTTCTTTGCCGTGGAATCTTCGCAGTTAGTTACGGAGATCATGCGGTTTCAGTGATAGTGCCAGACGGAGCGCAGATAAATGGTCTACACCCTCATTAAAGCATGCGCGTTACCATGCAGCAAAGATAAGACCAGGTGGTGGTCTAGCGACTCACTCCATGCCACTATTTGTTGCGACCCATAGCAGAACAAGCATTGAGCGTCAGATATAAGAAACTGGGATAATCACTTCTATAACCAACTGCAATACATCAGCAATTACGAGACAGTGATACTGACATTGCTCTCATCCTGGCGTGCATCTCCAGCCCTAGAAGGACTCAAAGCCTTCACCTTATCCCCGTACTCCCTAGGCAGCAGAAACACCAGGCAGTATGCACCACTGACTAAACAAGCACCGATAATAGGCCCAACCCAATAAATCCAATGGTTCTCCCACACCCCAGCCCAGACAGCAGCACCAAAGGAGCGAGCTGGGTTCATAGAAGCCCCCGTTAGAGGAACACCCACGATGTGATCCACAAGCACAGCAAAACCAATGAGCATCGGAGCGAGGTGGGACGGCCCCTTGGGGTCGACAGCGGTGGAAAAAACTGCGTAGACTAGTATAGCGGTGAGGATGATTTCGGTGAGCACGCCTTGACCTATGGAGACCCCTGCGCCGAGCACGTGTGCACCAAGAGCGTCCTGCAGAGGAGACAAATGGATGAGAGAAAGAATTGGTGCTAAGTCGCACGAATGCGAAGAGAAGGTTGGAAAGGAAATGGAAAAAGGGGAGGAGGGAAAGCGGGGAAGGGAGACAAGGGGATGGGGGAAGAGTTGTGCTGGTGTGTAGTGAGTGGGGAAAGCCCAGTGAAGGGAATGACTGGGGTGGTCAGAAAGGGACTTACATGCATGCTGGCAGGAGTTATTGCCTTGACCAGGCCAGCACCAAATACACCGCCTATCAGCTGAGCTGCCACGTAAGCTGCTGCTGTAATGACGTCAACCAGCCCCACTGCCAGCATGCCAAGTGTGACAGCTGGATTGATGTGCCCTCCTGAAATCCCGGATGCAGCTCCCACAGCAATCACGAGAGCAAGACCGTGTGCGATGCCTATGGAGAGTATGCGGATCACATCCAAGCCCTGAACGAATTCACCTGAGAATCAACACAAAGAGTGATATGGGGAAAAGAATATCAAGCAACCGTCTCGGCATGTTTCGAAACGTCTCAAAGCGCGATGCCACTGGAGAGTATGCGGATCACATCCATGCCCTGAACAAATTCACCTGAAAATCAACAAAGATGCAGGGGGGAAAAGAAAAACATAATATCTGTCTCAGGATGAAGTGAAGAACACATGAATTGTGCCTTTTTTTTTTTTGCAAGGCCCACTTCTCATCAATGAAAACCAATTTGATGATAGATAACTTAAGCTGGAAATGACCTACTCGAGGGAGGGCTAACTCACTTGAGACAGCCACTGACCCCACACCAACAAAGACGCAAAACATGGTTCCGACCAGCTCTGCCGTGGCAGCACATGCCAGGTGAACCTAATTCTGGCATGCAATTACTATGGACAGAACTCACAGGAACTACTTCCCACTTACTTGAAACGGCAACTGAACCCATGCCGACGAAGACAAAGAACATGGTTCCTGGTAGCACACGCCTGGTGAACGAGATTCGAGCATGCGGATATATGGACAGAACTCAAAGCGAGCTGCTTTTCACTCACTTGAAACGGCAACTGACCCGACGCCGACGAAGACGAAGAACATGGTTCCGACCAGCTCCGCTGTGGCGGCACATGCCAGGTGAACGAAATTCGGGCATGCAATTACTATGGACAGAACTCACAGGAACTACTTCCCACTTACTTGAAACGGCAACTGAACCCATGCCGACGAAGACAAAGAACATGGTCCCTGGCAGCACACGCCTGGTGAACGAGATTCGAGCATGCGGATATATGGACAGAACTCACAGCGAGCTGCTTTTCACTCACTTGAAACGGCAACTGACCCGACGCCGACGAAGACGAAGAACATGGTTCCGACCAGCTCTGCAGTGGCGGCACACGCCAGGTGAACCAGGTTGGGCGGCTGAAGCCACCGCTTGAACTGAGGCATGATGCTGCTGACGTCAGGTCGAATCGGAGCGGGTTACAGGGATCCGATTGCAGAGTCCGTCAGAAGTGCGTACGCGGCGGGTACTGAGTCAGAAGTTCTCAAGGGCACCTTTCTATGAGAACAGCTTACTGTCAATTTATCTTTTGGATTGGATCAAAGAACAGCGGTGCACTGACCTTCGTCGGGAGTCGTGACGACCGTCAGTCATCTCTGGTAAGCTCAGCGGCACAAGTCCTTTTCACTCCCTCCCTTGTGCGTTGCGCGGTGCGCGTGCGTGCTTTCCACAATTCAGATCAAACCAGACTGCCATCTGTGCGTGCCTTGCCATCGTGTCCCGGATTGTTTTTGAGTCGACTCAAAAACCGGAACACGTCATTGTCTCCTGTTTTTTCCGCCGCCGCTGAGAAACTACTAACGAAAATTCCGCTGCCGCGACATGCGTCGTCAAAGACTCAAGTCAGCTTCGAGAGACCCGACCCAGCGCGCGACGATAAGACAGCTCGAGCATGGCAAGCGTCGCAAAATTTTGCTGACCGAGCACGTGAGTCGTTGAAAAAATCCCCCAATCGGAGGTCGTCGTCGTCAATTGCCGGTCCGGTAACCTTGTTTCACGACGAACCAACCGGAGGCCGTGAGACATCGAGCGCACGCGACGCGAGGCTTTGCCAGCACGACAGCGACCCGTCACGCTGGACTATCCCATGCCTTTTCAGTCGACTTGAACATCTAAAATGACTGCCATGCTGGACCTTGGCACGTTCTTTCCAGTCGAGTCTAAGAATCGATTGGATAGTGACTGCCACGCTGGACTGTGCCACGTCATCTCACCAAACCAAACCCGACGAGCCTCCTGTCATGCTGTTCAGCGAAAAAAGACTAGACAAGCAGCCATGCCAGCATGGAACTGCAGAGAGTCAAGCGGTGAGGATAATTACCACATGCGTGGGAACATGCACTGGCTCGGTAAATAAGCTGAGTGAGCTTCACCACTCACCATCACCACTTACTTGGCGCGGCTTCACTACCGCAGGCGTATGATGCTAGAAACTCTGAAGACGAAACTCTCGAGAACTCGTGCCTCGATATTGACGCCTCCAGTCAACGTCGGCGTCACGTCAACACTGGCTTTGTGTTGGAAGGCAAACAACACTGTACACGAAACAACACTTAGATGATCAATACTACGGTAATTACTCTTGGAAACATAACAAATTGTGCAACATAAAATCATACTCCGACATATTTTCAGCATATACTTTTATTGAGGCGGAGGCTGGCTCTCCAAACGTTCTGGCTTCCCTTTTAGAGTTGGCTTCGCTTGCGGTCGCAACGGACCTCCCTGTCTCCTCCCACCACCACCCGCTCTCCTCTGCACGGGCCGAGCCTGGCCCGTACTTGAACCTGTCTGCCGAACCACAGGCCCGGATTGCCTCCACCACGTGGTCCACCCGAGCCTCTCCGTGGCCCCGAACCTCGCCTCTAAATCACCCGCCCCATCACTATCACTCTCCCTCTCCCTCTCCCGTCCACACTCCTCCCACTCATCCTCCTCATCTAAACACCCCGCCACCAACACCGTATGCAGACTAGCTGATTCCGACTGTCCCGGGAAATCCGTGGTGAAATGCAATCCACGGCTCTCCCTTCTCCTCAGTGCGCTGCGCACGACGAGCGACGCCACGTTGATAAGATTCTCCATCTCGCATGTCTCCATTGAGACGGCGCCACGTGGCAGCAGCACATTGGTCTCGAGGTCAGTGCGCCAGGCAGACGCCAGCATGTCAATCTCCCTCTGCGCTATTCGAAGGCGGTCGGTGGATCGGACAATGCCAACATAGCGCCACATGATAGCCTGAAGATACAATGGGAGAGTGGAACATGGAGAGGTAAGGTGACTAAGTTCAAAGAAAAACAGGGAAAGTTTGAGGAGGAAAAACAGATTCCATCCGCACACTAAGTCGATGAACTCGATGAACATGCCACTCGGTTTTTTTTAAACGGTCGCCTACCTATGGTAGTGATCAAGTGCTCATTCAGCAACGCTCACCTTAAGCTGCTCCCTGTACTTTGCAGTCACACGAGCAGCAGCAACCGCCCCTGGATCCTCCCTCCTCAACCCCACCACCTTTACCTCCTCCCCCTTCCCTTCCACCTCCCCCTCCCACTCCTCTCCCCCCCACATCGCCCCATCCATATCCCTCCCATCAGGCAACCCCGCAAGCACGTGGTTAAGCGGTGCAGCTGCCACCGCATGGGCAATCGCCGGCTCCACTGCTCTCTGCGCAAACACCAGCGCTTCCAGGAGCGAATTCGACGCCAGGCGGTTCGCCCCATGCAGCCCCGTGCAGGCCACTTCCCCTGCGGCCCACAACCCTCGGATCGAAGTCTCCCCGAATAGCCCCGTCTGCACTCCCCCGCACATGTAATGCGCGGCGGGGACCACTGGGATTGGGGCTTTTGTGATATCCACCCCCCACCGCTTGCACTCAGCCGCGATGTTCGGGAAGTGCCGGAGGATTTCAGCTGTCGGTTTGTGGCTGATGTCGAGATAGACGAACAGATCGCCACGGCGCTTCAGCTGGTCGTCGATGGACCGGGCGACGACGTCCCTTGGGGCGAGCTCGGCCCGCGGGTCGTAGTGAAGCATGAAGCGCTCGCCAGCTTGGTTGTACAGCAGCCCGCCTGCTCCTCGTACTGCCTCTGAGATGAGGAACGCGTTGGGGCGCGGGCCGGGCGGCTGGATGGGCAGACCTGCGTCAGCTAGCGCTGTTGGGTGAAACTGGATGAACCTGAGGGGGCGAAGAGTGGGGGTGGGGTGGATATAAGGTGAGTGGATTGAGGTGTTGAGATGGGCATGGAGTGGTGGAGGGGCATGACAGCATGTGGGGGAAGGGCGGAGAAGTGGGGGAGAAGGGGGAGGGGGAGGGGGAGGGGGAGGGGGAGGAGGAAGAGGAGGAGAAAGGGAGAAAGGGGGAAGGATGGGAAGAGGGAGCAGAAGTGGGGGGACGGGGAAGGCCCAAAGGAAGAGGAAGTGGACTCACTCCATGTTGGAAATGACAGCGCCTGCACGGAGAGCCAGAGCAACACCATCCCCAGTTGCCACCTGCACACACGTGCATAGGCACAGGCAAAACAAAAGGTGAGCAACCGCGACAGTGAGACAAGTTGAAGGATGGGACGTGTGCAGGCGAGGGAAAAAAAAAAAAAAAAAAAAAAAACCGGAACACAGAGGGAGGTGGGAAAGATGTTATTGATCAAGAGATCCAATTTGCTGTGGAATTCGGTGTGTTGAAGTAAACGTGATTTATTGTAGGGCGCCGAACAATCGTCCTGTTTTGGGTGCTTGAAAACTATTCATACCGTGGGGTTGGTGGTGTTGGGGTACACGTGGCCTGCCCCTCCTGTAGCGAGCAGCGTGGATCCCGCTATAAAGCGGATGATCTGCCCCGTCTCTGTGTCCAGAGCCTCCACGCCATAGCACGTGCTCTGCCCGCCGTCCTCCTGCAGTTACCAGGGAGGAAGGGAGAGGGGAAAGAGAGCGGATGTTGATGCTCCAAGCATGATCTGGCCTGTCTCCGGGTCCAGTGCGGGGTGGGGGGAAGAGGTGGGGGGAAGGGGTGGGGGGAAGTTGTGGAGGGAAGGGGTGGGGAGAAGGGGTGGGGGGCCGACACAAAGTGAATGGGGTGTGTAAGGACGAACAACTCAGACTCACTTCAGGGGGATGCGGGGAAGGGGAAAAGGTTGGCACAGTGAAATGACGTGCCGTATGTCCGCCTCTGCCTCTGACTCCGCCTCTGCCTCTGCCTCTGACCCTGCTGTTGCCTCTTCCTCTGCCCCTGCTGTTGCCTCTGCTTCTGTCGATGCATCTGCCTCTGCCGCCGCCTCTGGCGACAGCTTCTCTGTTCTTCTGTGACCCGCTACAATCGCCCCTCTCCCCTCCCTCCCCTCGCCTCCACTTCCCCTGTCTCCTCTCTACTCCTCACTACCCCTCTCTGTTCCTCTCTACTCTCTATTCATCTCCATTCCTCTCTCACCTGTCGCGTCAGCAGGTCGATCGCCATGTGGTGTTCAAACATGTCGATCCGCTTCGTCTTCTGCGCGGCCGTCAGCAGCGCGCGCTGGATCTCCCGCCCGGTCACGTCTGCCGCGTGCACGATCCGCGAGTGCGAGTGCCCCCCCTCGCGCGCAAGCAGCAGCCGCCCGTCATCTCCGCGGTCGAAACTTGCGCCCATGCGCATCAGCTCGCGCACGCGCTCCGGCCCCTCGCGGCAAACCACCTCCACGACCTCCACGTCATTTAAATACGCGCCCGCCACGATCGTATCCGAGATATGATTCTCGATCGAATCTAGCGGATCCAGGACCGCGCTCACGCCGCCCTGCGCGTAGTTCGTGCTGCCCTCCTGCGGCTCGGCTTTAGTCACCACCGCTACAGTGCCCTTCGCCGCGACGCCTAGCGCGAACCGGAGGCCGGCAATGCCGCTCCCGATAACCACGTAATCGTATAGCTTGGTCTCCGGTGGGGGGACTTCTGCCGCTCCCGCGCCTGCTTGTGCTTCCGCGCGCACACGCGAGCGGCCCGCCAGTGCCTCCGCTGAGAGAGACGGACGCGCGGAAGAGGAATGCGGAGCGCTGAGGGCGTCCACGCAAGGAGCCAGCCATAGGCGCTTAGCTTGCAGTGGGAGGAAGAGTGCGGACGTGGCATTGGATGCAGCACCAGAAGTGGCGCAGCTTGGCTACAGGAGAAAGGGGAAGGGAAGGGGGGAATGGGGGAAGGGAGAAGAAGGGGGTGCGGGGAGGAGAGGGACACAGGGGGAAAGTTGGGGGGTGGGGGAGGAAAACGAAAAAGGTGAGAAAATATAAACAAGTGACCGTACCATTATTCCTTGTTTATTGGATCCATCACGTAACTGACAGCTCTAGGGTTATACGCACGTGGCGTTTCCTGGTATAGCCCCTGAACGACACTCGATGATTAAGTAAATACATTGCCAGAGGGAATCCAAAAAAGGGGTCCATTTCCCAGAACAGCGTTAACCACGGTTGTCTTTTCTCAGATGCCAGCGATTAGCACGTACCCGAAAAGCATCGTCATTGCGACGAGTGATCCGCCAATGCTGCGTCCTCCTTCCGTGCTTGGACCGCCGATCCTGCGCTGCTGCCTGAAAAGGCAAACCAGACACACGAAGGCCTTTCAACGGTAGGATTCATTCACTGGATCACGCAAGTCGTGACGTAAGTATTCAGTTTTCCAAAGAAACCCTCTTGTGTAAAGCGGAGATGCAGTGGAGTAGAGAATACACTAGCAGAAGCTATTCACCGTCCCGATGTTGATTGCTCTACTCTTAGAGAATTAATTTGTTATGGCCTAATGTATAAATGTATAATGAGAGGAAAATGTAGTGGAGGAAGCTCGTGACATTTATGAGATAGTTATTGCTGGTCATAAGTGGAGGACCATCGACGCAGAGCTACAAAAACGCATGTCAGGCCAAGATACCCGCGGATCCAATCTCAAGCCACGATGACCAGCATAACAATCCTTAAGCGAGCTCTGGTCTGGCTGTTTAAGAAGCACGCACCTTGTGCAGGGAGCACACGGACGGACCAGTCGCTGCGAGAGCCTTCATGGTTCTGACGTGGCTCGCGGCTACGAACTACTTCGAAGCAAGCTGGTCTACACTAGCTCACAGCGAATCCAGTACGCAGAAGTTCGACTTCTGACCAGGACGGATCAACGCACTAACAAAAGCAGAGGAGCTCGAGGTAAGGAAAGGAAGCTCAATCTCAAGGTTATTCCCAGTTTATAGAACAGTATTCTCAAGGGCAGAACTCCTCGAGGTTTGCTGCTAAAACCTGTTCCTCGGAGGGAGGTAAGAGCGTGAAGCGGATTGGTCGATGCGGATATATAATTGGCTGTGAGCCATTGGCCAGCCAACCGCAGCCCAATGAGCCGCGCGCGAGCTGAGCCACACCAGCAGCAACGACTTCCGATCTTGAATCCAGTTGGAATTGACCGTCTGATCTTCTAAGCGCGACAGTTTACACACCAGGAAGGGAGGAGTCCCCGAGCTCAAACGTTCGAAAGCATAAAAGGTGGGTTTTAGCAAAGCGATGAGGGCGTGACTTGTGGTGGTCGTCAAGCGTTCCTGGTGGGGATTCGTCATCTTCAGGGGTGGGTGGTTGTTGTAACCAGTTTTGATGGATTACGTGGCGCATAATGAATGGGTGATGAACCAGAAGCTTCGGAAAGTGGATTTGATGGCGGCGGTTTATCCAAGCTCGTCCATCCGTCAGATCGTGGAAGAAGTGACAACACGGGAGAGAGCCATGCTTGAGGACAGAAGTGCAGGGCAGCAAGCGTAAATCCAATCTGCTCTGGGCAGGTTTCCGTGGCGGTTGATCAATCAGCACTGTGAATGGCCAGAGATCGGGCACCTGAATTCTTTCCGTTCCATGCGCTGGCAGCTCCTGGTTCTTCGGAAAATGAAGATGCGCCAGTGATTCAACGGGCCAGCAAACACCACCACCACCGGCATTTCCCGCCATTCGCATCTGAAATGGATGGAACCGTCGTGTATCTGTATCGAAGTTGAATATTCAGAATAAAAGAAGGCGCCACACGGAAGCCCCGTCAGAGAGATATAAAGAGGGCTATGTATACCACCAGTGCCTTGCTCAGTTGCTGTAGAGTGGCCGCTGTAAAAAAGATTTGCCATCTAATAAAGAGCAATGTTGATGAGCGTAAAACATGCACCATCTACACACGCCGTGCATAATCATTCGACACTTGAACCGTCACCTCTTTTGGGCTTACCCTCGTCCTCCCTTTCCCTTCCCCTTCCCTTTCGCCCCACCTTTCATCCTCTTCTTCCCCCCTTCACCACCATCCAAGTTCCCATCTTCACCACCACCCCTCTTCTTTCCTCCTCCCTTTGCCTTCACACTCAACACACCGCTTCCCGGGAGCTTCCCCCCTCCTGCAGCGATCGCAGCCTCAAAGTCTGCATCTCGGCCGTCGATCGCAAACTCCTGCATCTGTCCAGGTGTCAGTGACGTCAGCAGGGTGGTGGTGCCAGGCTCTGCCGCCCCCTCCAGCCGGGTTTCAATCACCTTCTGTTACAGGAACAACATTCATTGGGAAACGAAATTGCATTTATACAACACGATAACCACAGCCAAAGCCAAGAGTTTTAATTGGCTCTACATGGAAAAATCAGGTGGTAAAAAATCTCTAAAAGGGCAATTGTTTTAATTTTAGGATAAAAAAAATATCCCGGCTCTCGACCAGCTCACCTTGGCCTGATCTGCCGCCTCTGCTAGGTCTTCATCCACTGACTGGGGGTGGGGGCGCAGGTCCACCTGGTGGGGAGGGTAGGGGTGGAGAGAGTGGGCGAGCGGAAGGGGTGGAGGACCGCGTGGGATTGAATTGGTGCACACAGCACCAGCACAAAGCACATCATAAAGCAGGCACACAGTAGCAGCAGAAGAGCAGCAGAGGAGTGCTACTGCACATGGACACCTCCTTGATCCTGGAAAGAGCAACCTGGTGCGTGCAGCAGCAGTGGCAGCAGCAGCAGGACACACAGGAGCAGCAGAGGAGCAGCAGAGGAGCAGCAGAGGAGCAGCAGAGGAGCAGCAGAGGAGCGCAGCACACACATACCTCCTTGATTGTGGGGAGAGCAGCCTCTATGGTGCGTACAGCAGCGGCAGGAGCACCAGCAGCACCACCAGCAGCAGCAGCACATATCACATCAAACAGCACATGTCACATCATACAGCACACACCGTACCTCCTTGATTCTGGGGAGAGCAGCCTCTATCGTACGTGCAGCAGCAGCGTACAGCACACTGTGAATCTTTCGAATGGCCTTGTTGAACAGAGCAAGAACTTGCGTCCCGGGCAGCCGAAGGTTCGCCTGTTGGGGATTCGGGCAGAGGAAAGAGGAAGCGAGTGTGAGAAGAATGAAAGCCCATTATTTTTTTGTCTTGTTTTTTTCCCCCTTAGCTAACCACACACAGCGCTACAGCGACACAAGGCGCTACAGCCAGCGTGCTACAGCCGCACAAGGCGCTACAACCAGCATGATACATCTGCACAAGACGCTACAACCAGCATGCTACAGCCGCACAAGGCGCTACAGCCAGCATGCTATAGCCGCGCAAGGCGTTACCTCGATGGTGGAGAGCTCGTGGTGCTGCAGACCGAAGGAGAGCAGAATGGCATTCAGGCATGTTACAGCCACACAACATGCTACATCCGCGCTTCATACTACAGCCGATACACGCTACAGGCATACCTCTATGGTGGAGAGCTCATGGTGCTGCAGACCGAATGAGAGCAGAATGGCAGCTTGGGCGTAGGAGAGAGAGGCGGGGATGAGACCGAGGAAGTAGAGTCGGGCGAGAGGAGGGATGAGGTCCATTATCTGAGGGGGGGAAAGAAGGCAGGGGATGGGGAGAGGAGAAGGGGGAGGTGGGAGTTGGGAGGTGGGAGGTGGGAGGAGTGGGTGCCAAGGAAGTAAACCACGAGGACCAGAGCAAAACAACGGGAGGTGGAAGCGGAGTGCAAATGAATTGCACGAGAACAACTTGGAGAGTCAAGGGTGCTCCCAGTAAAACATCATTACCAAGTGGCAGTCAACCAGGTTGTTGGCGTATGACTCGAGTCGCCTCATATCGTACGGCGAAAGCAACACATCTCCCATGTGATACACCATCTCCCATGTGATACACCATCTCCCATGTGATACACCATCTCCCATGTGATACACCATCTCCCATGTGATACAAGTGTAGCCTGGGGAGTTTACCAGCAGAGTGTCAGCACAGCGTCATTACCAGGTGGTAGTCCACCAAATTGTTGGCGTATGACTCGAGTCGCTTCATATCATACGGCGACAGCAGCGCCGCCTTCCCCTCCATCAGCCCTGCCGGCACGGCTGCCTCCCGTGCCTCTGCCTCTGGGAACTCGATCTGTGGGTCCAGAATGCTGGTGAGGTGGTGGGGGAGGGGAGGGGAAAGGAGGGGTAGCAGGAAAGAACATACAGTTCTGAGATACTCTAAGCTCGCCTTCCCATTCCTTCCCCTCCATCAGCTCTGCCTCTGGGAACTCGATTTGTGGGTCCAGAATGCTGGGGAATGGGGGAATGGGGGAATGGGGAAAGGGGAGGGGGAGGGGGAGGGGGAGAGGGAGATGGAGGAGTGGGACGCAGAGTTAGCTCAGAACACGCCTTCCTTTCCCCTCCTTCAGCCCTGCCGGCATGACTGCTTCCCGTGCCTCTGCCTCTGGGGACTCAATCTGTGGATCAAGAATGCTGGGGAACGGAGAGAGCACGCAGAGAACTCAGCAGCTAGGCAGAGGAGGAGGGGGGAAGGAGAAAGCGGAACACGCTGCACTACGCTTGAAGCAAGAGAGCCTTAGAAGCAAGAGAGCCTTAAAAGCAACGAAAATGATAGGGATGGGAAAACAAAAAGAGCGCGCAGCGTACCTGAGGCAAAGGGCGGGCGGCGTACCTGAGGCAAAGGGCGGGCAGCGTACCTGAGGCAAAGGGCGGGCGGCAGAGGCCGGAAGGAGAAACCGAGGAGCGACAGGAATCGACGGTGGAAGTCTGGTGGGGGTTGGGGGTGAAGGGGGTGGGATGGGGGTGAAGGGGGTGGGATGGAGGAAGAGGAGGGGAGAGGCAAGTGGAACAAACAGGGTACGAAAACGTCTCCAGGAAAAGACTTCCATGAATCACTCATTCACTCGGTCACTCACTCACTCACTCACTCACTCAGTGACTCGCTGACTCACTCACTCACTCACTCAGTGACTCACCGACCCACTCACTTACTCACTCACTCAATGACTCACTGACTCAATTACTCAAGCATTCGATGACTCACTGAGTCACCCACTTACTCACCCACTCACTCACCCACTTACTCACTCACCCACTCATTCCCACAATACACCAACCTTGTGAGAAGGAGTCGAGCCACGAGTGCTTGGAGTCTGCCAGGGTTACTTGAGGCACACTCAACCGCTCTCTTCCTCACACATTCACTCTCTTGGTCACTCACTCACTCACTTCAAGCCCAGCAGCCCCCAACCAACCTTGTGAGAAGGAGTCGAGCCACGAGTGCTTGGCATCTGCTGGACCCAAGTCGTCATTCCGGAGGGGCTTGAGCATGATGCACGTGTGCTCGCCTGTGATGTCGCTCTGTGGTGAGCAGGGTGAGAAGCAGAGGACAATAAGAGGCCATAGAACGTGTGCATGACGCACGTGTGCTCGCCTGTGATGTCACATTGTCACTCCAAAGGGGCTTGAGCATGATGCACGTATGCTCTCCTGTGATGTCGCTCTGTCTCAATCAGGGCAAAACGGGAAGGGTGGAGAAGAGACGCAGACGACAATAAGAGACTTTAGAGGTTAAGTTGTCACCCCGGAGGGGCTTGAGCATGATGCACGTATGATCTCCTGTGATGTCACATTGTCACCCCGGAGGAGCTTGAGCATGATGCACGTATGATGTGCAGATCCTCGGACATTTTCCAGTGAGCGGCAGTCGACTCAAAAATAGCATGATGCACGTATGCTCTGCTGCTATGTCGCTCGCTCTGTGGTGTTGTGAAGGGTGTGAAAGCGTTTTGATCATTCTCAAAAGGGATGAGAGGGTGGAAACACGGGAGAGGAAGAGGATGTGCTGTATGGTCATGTGCGTTGCTGTGCGGTGCTCTGCGGTGACATGCGATACTGTGCGGTCCTGGCTGCTAGTCTCATCGGTGTCTGCCTGACGTGGAGGGGCATGAATTGCTGGTGCCACCAGAATTTGAAGAGCCGCTGCCCCAGCCATGAGCTGCTGATGTACGGTGGTATGCGGTGATCTGCTGTCCTGTGTGGTGCTGTGCGGCTCACCGGAGTCTGTCTGACATAGAGCGGCACGAATTGCTGCCTTCGCCAGAAGTTGAAGAGCTGCTGCCCCAGACCAAACGACACCCCCACGTAGTGCAGCTGCTCCTGCCGCCTCTCCCCCACCGGCTGTAGCAGCGGCGGCAGGCCCGACCGTGGCGCTAGCTGTTCTTCCAGCAAAGATGCCTGAAAGAGAAGGAGATGAAGTCAGGGACGACGGAGGAGAAAGCAGTGAGCAGCATACATGGGGCATGCCACGTCAGGGCATGCCAAGTCAGCGCACGAGGCGTTCCAGGAGAGAGCAGGGCACATGCAAAGATGCAGTCTGGAAGAAAAAAAGCGACTGAACCCTCGGTACTGGAAGCAAGAAAGAGGTGCTTATCGTGCAGATAACGTGGGCTGGGCAGACAAGAGCTTACGTGACCTTACATTACAGGATCGTACCATCCGAAAAATCAAGCGATTAAAGCAACAATCCCAACCTAGCAGTGGGAAACCAGACCACTCTCCCGTACCAGCGATCCGAAAAATCAAGCGATTAAAATCTATACCGTACCGAACCATTCTCCCTAGCTTCTTGGACAGCCTTAGAGTGCTGCCCGCCCTCCTCTTCCTCCTCGCTCTCCTCCTCACTATCCTCCCCCATGCTTGTCAACTGCCCCTCATAGTACCTGCAAGCACCAAGACAGGAAAGACATTATAAACACCGTTTTAAAGCCCTGGCGTGCCCTGGACTGCCGCTGGCCCCCCTTCCTCTTCCTCCTCGCTCTCCTCCTCACTATCCTCCCCCATGCTTGTCAACTGCCCCTCATAGTACCTGCAAGCACCAAAACAGGAAAGACATTATAAACACCGTTTTAAAGCCCTGGCGTGCCCTGGACTGCCGCTGGCCCCCCTTCCTCTTCCTCCTCGCTCTCCTCCTCACTATCCTCCCCCATGCTTGTCAACTGCCCCTCATAGTACCTGCAAGCACCAAAACAGGAAAGACATTATAAACACCGTTTTAAAGCCCTGGCGTGCCCTGGACTGCCGCTGGCCCCCCTTCCTCTTCCTCCTCGCTCTCCTCCTCACTATCCTCCCCCATGCTTGTCAACTGCCCCTCATAGTACCTGCACGCACCAAGACCAGAGAAACATCATAAACGTTAGATTCTGGGCCATGATTGGTGAATAGAAGATTGTGGAATCTTGTAACGTTAGGTTCTGGGCCATGATGACTCAGGGACTCAGATGGCCCTGAGTCATGCATGAATTCAACATCAGATCAACGGCTCTGGACGCATCCCTCAAACAGCAGGTCAACGTCTCTGAGATCCATATCCCACGTGCATGAGATCGGAATGAACGGCGATCCGGACAACCCGAGCACTAGAGAGGGGCAGAGTCTTGAAACTGCTGTGAGAGCGTCCAGGGCAGCAGACCCTAGTCTTGAAACTGCTGTGAGAGCGTCCAGGGCAGCAGACCCTAGTCTTGAAACTGCTGTGAGAGCGTCCAGGGCAGCAGACCCTAGTCTTGAAACTGCTGTGAGAGCGTCCAGGGCAGCAGACCCTAGTCTTGAAACTGCTGTGAGAGCGTCCAGGGCAGCAGACCCTAGTCTTGAAACTGCTGTGAGAGCGTCCAGGGCAGCAGACCCTAGTCTTGAAACTGCTGTGAGAGCGTCCAGGGCAGCAGACCCTAGTCTTGAAACTGCTGTGAGAGCGTCCAGGGCAGCAGACCCTAGTCTTGAAACTGCTGTGAGAGCGTCCAGGGCAGCAGACCCTAGTCTTGAAACTGCTGTGAGAGCGTCCAGGGCAGCAGACCCTAGTCTTGAAACTGCTGTGAGAGCGTCCAGGGCAGCAGACCCTAGTCTTGAAACTGCTGTGAGAGCGTCCAGGGCAGCAGACCCTAGTCTTGAAACTGCTGTGAGAGCGTCCAGGGCAGCAGACCCTAGTCTTGAAACTGCTGTGAGAGCGTCCAGGGCAGCAGACCCTAGTCTTGAAACTGCTGTGAGAGCGTCCAGGGCAGCAGACCCTAGTCTTGAAACTGCTGTGAGAGCGTCCAGGGCAGCAGACCCTAGTCTTGAAACTGCTGTGAGAGCGTCCAGGGCAGCAGACCCTAGTCTTGAAACTGCTGTGAGAGCGTCCAGGGCAGCAGACCCTAGTCTTGAAACTGCTGTGAGAGCGTCCAGGGCAGCAGACCCTAGTCTTGAAACTGCTGTGAGAGCGTCCAGGGCAGCAGACCCTAGTCTTGAAACTGCTGTGAGAGTGTCCAGGGCAGCAGACCCTAGTCTTGAAACTGCTGTGAGAGTGTCCAGGGCAGCAGACCCTAGTCTTGAAACTGCTGTGAGAGCGTCCAGGGCAGCAGACCCTAGTCTTGAAACTGCTGTGAGAGCGTCCAGGGCAGCAGACCCTAGTCTTGAAACTGCTGTGAGAGCGTCCAGGGCAGCAGACCCTAGTCTTGAAACTGCTGTGAGAGCGTCCAGGGCAGCAGACCCTAGTCTTGAAACTGCTGTGAGAGCGTCCAGGGCAGCAGACCCTAGTCTTGAAACTGCTGTGAGAGCGTCCAGGGCAGCAGACCCTAGTCTTGAAACTGCTGTGAGAGCGTCCAGGGCAGCAGACCCTAGTCTTGAAACTGCTGTGAGAGTGTCCAGGGCAGCAGACCCTAGTCTTGAAACTGCTGTGAGAGTGTCCAGGGCAGCAGACCCTAGTCTTGAAACTGCTGTGAGAGTGTCCAGGGCAGCAGACCCTAGTCTTGAAACTGCTGTGAGAGTGTCCAGGGCAGCAGACCCTAGTCTTGAAACTGCTGTGAGAGCGTCCAGGGCAGCAGACCCTAGTCTTGAAACTGCTGTGAGAGCGTCCAGGGCAGCAGACCCTAGTCTTGAAACTGCTGTGAGAGCGTCCAGGGCAGCAGACCCTAGTCTTGAAACTGCTGTGAGAGCGTCCAGGGCAGCAGACCCTAGTCTTGAAACTGCTGTGAGAGCGTCCAGGGCAGCAGACCCTAGTCTTGAAACTGCTGTGAGAGCGTCCAGGGCAGCAGACCCTAGTCTTGAAACTGCTGTGAGAGCGTCCAGGGCAGCAGACCCTAGTCTTGAAACTGCTGTGAGAGCGTCCAGGGCAGCAGACCCTAGTCTTGAAACTGCTGTGAGAGCGTCCAGGGCAGCAGACCCTAGTCTTGAAACTGCTGTGAGAGCGTCCAGGGCAGCAGACCCTAGTCTTGAAACTGCTGTGAGAGCGTCCAGGGCAGCAGACCCTAGTCTTGAAACTGCTGTGAGAGCGTCCAGGGCAGCAGACCCTAGTCTTGAAACTGCTGTGAGAGCGTCCAGGGCAGCAGACCCTAGTCTTGAAACTGCTGTGAGAGCGTCCAGGGCAGCAGACCCTAGTCTTGAAACTGCTGTGAGAGCGTCCAGGGCAGCAGACCCTAGTCTTGAAACTGCTGTGAGAGCGTCCAGGGCAGCAGACCCTAGTCTTGAAACTGCTGTGAGAGCGTCCAGGGCAGCAGACCCTAGTCTTGAAACTGCTGTGAGAGCGTCCAGGGCAGCAGACCCTAGTCTTGAAACTGCTGTGAGAGTGTCCAGGGCAGCAGACCCTAGTCTTGAAACTGCTGTGAGAGCGTCCAGGGCAGCAGACCCTAGTCTTGAAACTGCTGTGAGAGTGTCCAGGGCAGCAGACCCTAGTCTTGAAACTGCTGTGAGAGTGTCCAGGGCAGCAGACCCTAGTCTTGAAACTGCTGTGAGAGCGTCCAGGGCAGCAGACCCTAGTCTTGAAACTGCTGTGAGAGCGTCCAGGGCAGCAGACCCTAGTCTTGAAACTGCTGTGAGAGTGTCCAGGGCAGCAGACCCTAGTCTTGAAACTGCTGTGAGAGCGTCCAGGGCAGCAGACCCTAGTCTTGAAACTGCTGTGAGAGCGTCCAGGGCAGCAGACCCTAGTCTTGAAACTGCTGTGAGAGCGTCCAGGGCAGCAGACCCTAGTCTTGAAACTGCTGTGAGAGCGTCCAGGGCAGCAGACCCTAGTCTTGAAACTGCTGTGAGAGTGTCCAGGGCAGCAGACCCTAGTCTTGAAACTGCTGTGAGAGTGTCCAGGGCAGCAGACCCTAGTCTTGAAACTGCTGTGAGAGTGTCCAGGGCAGCAGACCCTAGTCTTGAAACTGCTGTGAGAGTGTCCAGGGCAGCAGACCCTAGTCTTGAAACTGCTGTGAGAGTGTCCAGGGCAGCAGACCCTAGTCTTGAAACTGCTGTGAGAGTGTCCAGGGCAGCAGACCCTAGTCTTGAAACTGCTGTGAGAGTGTCCAGGGCAGCAGACCCTAGTCTTGAAACTGCTGTGAGAGTGTCCAGGGCAGCAGACCCTAGTCTTGAAACTGCTGTGAGAGTGTCCAGGGCAGCAGACCCTAGTCTTGAAACTGCTGTGAGAGTGTCCAGGGCAGCAGACCCTAGTCTTGAAACTGCTGTGAGAGTGTCCAGGGCAGCAGACCCTAGTCTTGAAACTGCTGTGAGAGTGTCCAGGGCAGCAGACCCTAGTCTTGAAACTGCTGTGAGAGTGTCCAGGGCAGCAGACCCTAGTCTTGAAACTGCTGTGAGAGTGTCCAGGGCAGCAGACCCTAGTCTTGAAACTGCTGTGAGAGTGTCCAGGGCAGCAGACCCTAGTCTTGAAACTGCTGTGAGAGTGTCCAGGGCAGCAGACCCTAGTCTTGAAACTGCTGTGAGAGTGTCCAGGGCAGCAGACCCTAGTCTTGAAACTGCTGTGAGAGTGTCCAGGGCAGCAGACCCTAGTCTTGAAACTGCTGTGAGAGTGTCCAGGGCAGCAGACCCTAGTCTTGAAACTGCTGTGAGAGTGTCCAGGGCAGCAGACCCTAGTCTTGAAACTGCTGTGAGAGTGTCCAGGGCAGCAGACCCTAGTCTTGAAACTGCTGTGAGAGTGTCCAGGGCAGCAGACCCTAGTCTTGAAACTGCTGTGAGAGTGTCCAGGGCAGCAGACCCTAGTCTTGAAACTGCTGTGAGAGTGTCCAGGGCAGCAGACCCTAGTCTTGAAACTGCTGTGAGAGTGTCCAGGGCAGCAGACCCTAGTCTTGAAACTGCTGTGAGAGTGTCCAGGGCAGCAGACCCTAGTCTTGAAACTGCTGTGAGAGTGTCCAGGGCAGCAGACCCTAGTCTTGAAACTGCTGTGAGAGTGTCCAGGGCAGCAGACCCTAGTCTTGAAACTGCTGTGAGAGTGTCCAGGGCAGCAGACCCTAGTCTTGAAACTGCTGTGAGAGTGTCCAGGGCAGCAGACCCTAGTCTTGAAACTGCTGTGAGAGTGTCCAGGGCAGCAGACCCTAGTCTTGAAACTGCTGTGAGAGTGTCCAGGGCAGCAGACCCTAGTCTTGAAACTGCTGTGAGAGTGTCCAGGGCAGCAGACCCTAGTCTTGAAACTGCTGTGAGAGTGTCCAGGGCAGCAGACCCTAGTCTTGAAACTGCTGTGAGAGTGTCCAGGGCAGCAGACCCTAGTCTTGAAACTGCTGTGAGAGTGTCCAGGGCAGCAGACCCTAGTCTTGAAACTGCTGTGAGAGTGTCCAGGGCAGCAGACCCTAGTCTTGAAACTGCTGTGAGAGTGTCCAGGGCAGCAGACCCTAGTCTTGAAACTGCTGTGAGAGTGTCCAGGGCAGCAGACCCTAGTCTTGAAACTGCTGTGAGAGTGTCCAGGGCAGCAGACCCTAGTCTT